TCAACTTCGAATCCCTTTTACCCTATTAAAGCAGAATACAGGATGTTGATGTGGCAACTTCTTATTAAAAAAATTTGGCTCCAAATGCACCATATTGCTTTAACCATTCTGCCACATGTCATCCTTTTTTAAAAGAAAAAAAAACTTCTTATCCCGAAAAAAAAAGCTAATTTACAAAAATATCTACACAATTTTAACTCATAACACTTATCATTTATCAATCAAATTAAGATAGGATTTAAATTTGTCCATAAACTTATCCCTTTTATTACTCCACATTCTTTTGTATGATTTCTGCATCGGTGTACTTTTTAATATTTTTTCTTCTTTTGCAGATGATTTTTTATTTTTATTTTTATTTTTAGCTAAAAAAAAGAAAAAATAAATGTGTAGCTATTTTATTTTTTTCAAATAAAAAATTCATTTATCTATTAACACAAAATTAAAGTAGAGGGGCGCCCGGGCATCTGCCTGGGCCAAGCATCTAGTTGAATAATTATATATCTTGCAATAATTTAAATCAAAATCATTAAACTTATTTTTAATGACATTCTATGGTAGAATCATTTTTTTCATTGATTCTAGGGTAGGATCATTTTTTTTACCACATTAATAATATCACTGAAGTTATTTGCATATTTAAATTTGATCTCTCTCAAATTGTTTTTAATAATATCCCACAATTACTTTATAGTGGGTATCTATTTTTTTTTCTTAATGATATTGCAAATTTACCCTAGACATTTCTTAATGATATTGGGGGTGTCTTTTATGTAAGCCTTTTATATATATTGCAAACGTCATCGAACGGGAGTAGTCCAATGGTATTAAATCTAGATTAGTTTTGTTATTTTGAAAGCAAAATCTTATTAATTATTACTTATATTTATCCTCCTGCGAGATTAAAGAATTTAAAAATATTTATTATATTCCCTTATTTGTCTCCAATCCTATCTTTCTTGTTCTTCTTACTTAATCTTCTCTTTTTGTTCCCGAGGATGAGAGATGCGAGGGATACCTTATGCTTCTCGCGTCTTTTTTGCCGGAATTTTTTTTAAAATTATTTTAGTTGGTTTTTTTTGGTTTTCTTATTTTGTTTTGTGCATTTTTAAGTCTAAGAAATTAAGAAAATGCCACATAGGATTAAATCCTATGTGTAATGTGTTCCATGCCTTTAGTTTTCTCTCTCTGGTTTTTGCCTTAGTATAGTATATAGATAGATAGATATAGATTTGCTAGAATCTAAAACTTACATGACAACAAAATTAATATTAATTTCAGATTCTATAATAGTAAAATTAAGAAGGGAAAAAAAGTAAGAAAATATTTTTAAAGAGCAATTCCATGAATACATAATAATCATTTATCCCTATTTGTTCTGTTTTTTTTTTCAATCAAAAGTGAGTGAACCCCAAAAAAATAAAAAAATAAAAACAAAAAGGTTATTGATTTTAAGCGGGCCAATATATATATATATATATATATATACATATATATATAGATAGATAGATAGATAAATAACACGAAGAAGAGGAAGCTATCCCATGAACTTAAATTTTGTTCCGGATTTCTTTTCGGATTATCTAAGATATCAAAAGTTAAAGTAGAAACTAATGCAAAAAAATATAGAAGTACTAAGAAAAACTACTACATTGAAGTATGAAATTTATAGAAGAATTTTGAATCCAAAGGATACATTACATAGTAACATTCTGTAGAAGCATTGACTTTTCGCAATCACATTACTATATATTACTCCCTCCGTCCCATAATTATTGTCCAGTTTGATTTTCATTTTTAGTTCAAATTGTACTAAAAAGTGAAATTTCAAATTGGACAATAATTTTGGGACAGAAGGAAGGAGTATCTTGTTATTAATAACCCTAACAAATTGTAGCATTTCATAAGATATCTGGTGAATCAACAACAAAATTCAACTCTTAATAATTATGTCGCAGATCAATGGTCCGGTCTCTAACCAATAACTCCTTTGTTGGTTGAAATGAAATGTTGGAAGTGCCTTGACCTTAAACTGCAAACAAGCAATCCCTTTATCTTCAAATATGGCTCAAAAGACTTGAAAAGGTCAAAATATTCTAGCAGATCAGTGTAATGTCATAGATTTAAAACCATTGGCTTGCTATGTCAGCCTGAACATTTTTCCAGGGGGATTCAAGAGTTGTCAGTAAACTAAATTCTTCACTCATTTTTTATGATCTAACCCTACGAAGTTAAGAAATTATGGGTAGAGAAAAAAAGATTGAAGTTTGGAATATCCTGGAAAAGCAATCATAATTTGAACAGAGGAAATGGTGGAAGAGATGTGCAAAGAGAAATGCTCATCAGGAAGAGGTGGAAAGAGGGAGAGCTTTTGCAAAGGTGTAATTCCTCCAAAGGAAATAGGGATGAATAAGGTCTGCATAGAGGAGGATCTTGTATGTATAGATACTTAAAATTATTACCTGGAAATACTCATTGAAAAAGAGCCGGTCTCCCTTGAACATTATGGAGTATGTATATTCTGAACTTGCTCTTTTCGAACAACAGTCATAAAGAAAGGATCTAAGCTACAGGAATCATTATAAGCTAAAGCTGAAGCATCTTTCATTTTCTTCCCTAACTGGGGAAACATATAATTCAATTTGCCAGCTTTGTTATTTCCATAGGCATTCAGGAAAGGGGTCAATTCTTCTTCTTTTGTTTTGTTCCCTAAGATCCGAAACAAATTTGTGTTACTCATGGGGAATATCTGAAATTAAAAGTATGAAGATACATTATTATCGGATGAGACACAGTAAATCAATGGCTAACCAAGATCCTCCGGTCTATGGGGCTCTTCCTCTATTTCCTCCATTCCCCTTTCGGCTTCTGGTAAACCTTCTGCCCAACCTCCAGAAGCGAAGACCACTATTTATTGACAGAGGAAGCATATCTGAAATTAAAGCAAAATAAATGTACTTATTTAAGCTAAGCACTGAAGGAAACTTCGAATGTTTAAAAGTGGTTATGTTCATCAATGATTCCCACAAACTCTTTGTTATCATTATCTTTTCTGAAAGAATACATGTAAATCGTACAGGGGAAATAACAATTTCATACCTATAATACAGTTGAATTTTCTTTACTGTCCAACCCCATCGACATGAACATCGTCCCAAACAGACTGCCATGCATTGACTTCCATACACTTCTGTACATTGCACATTTTTCTGAATCCTACAAGTTTCAACGTTTAACAGATTCAATCTCCGAATTTATCTAAACATACAGGAAATTTCTCTAAAGATGTCCACATTTAAGTAGGAAATGCATAGAAGATGACTGTTGTGCAGTGTCACTGGTTCGGGCTAAATGATGGCTGCTGTTAGCTAAATGATGCTATCAGATGGGCATTGTTGGATTCTTAGTTTGATTCTTTTAAAATGGTAAATAAAAACAATAGAGTTCCTTAATTCCTCAATTTAAAATGTCCAATGCAAAAGCTTCCTACGAAACATTTGCAGACTGAAATTTACCGCATATTTGTTAACACATTCGGCATCAACAAGAGGGAGTCCCCGTTTTGAACTTGCCGCTGCAATCCACCAAGCAGATAGCTACTGCAGCAACATCACTGGAATTCTAGCCCAAGAAAAATTTATTTTGCATGTATCTCACCCAAATCAGCTCGAAAGATGAAGCCATACCCAGCAGGTCCCGGATTGCTTCAACTAAAATGGGGGCTGCTGCAGAACTCATTTGATTGCTCTATACTTTGGCGGCAAAATAGCTGCTAAAAATTCACTGATTAACATTTTAAACTCTGATTTACATATTGCAGATAAATCATGAACTTTAAAAAGACCCCAAACATAATCAATGACCACTTATTTCTCACTTATCGTACCTTCAAAGTCCCAAACTATGAGCACTGCAAAACGAGAAGGAGAAAACCAAAAGATGAGACCTGCAAGAGACAAAAAAAAATGAAGTAAGCTCCAAAAATCAGTTGATGATGGCCTGAGAATATTGATTAAAGAAGTCCAGATTGATGCGGCTGAAAATGTGTGCTTTTGGTGTATATGCATTAAAGTAGCATCTCTCAATGAGGCCAATGAAGCCTCTTTACCTTCAGAATTAAACCTATAAATTCATAGCTGCATGCGCATTTGCAATTGTCACAAAGATCTCATAACTTTGAGCTGGTTAATCAATTACTAAAAGAATGGATATCCATGTTCTACCAAGCATAATCTCAAGTTCTTAGTATAGCCACACAACAGTTGTCCTTAAAATTGATACTCCCACTGTCCCACAAAAACAAAAAAAAAAAGAAGTAAAAAGGCCACAATGATTTTAAAATTTGTACTGGTTTTAGTACAAATCTCAAACTTCAGTGCTGACAATTTTTTGGGGACAGGGAGAAAATGTAATGTGAATGAGAATATATTGGTTAGAACAAGAATATGTTGGATAGTGAGATCAACTTAGCAATTATGGTTCACTTTTGGCTTCGTTACCGAAACATCATCTACAACTTATCAGATAGTTTACAACGATACTTTGTTGTGGGATAATTCAATTTCACATCACTCTCTAACAGATTCAAACTTTGTCCATAAACTATGTCATGTTCATGCAACAAATTACCTTCTTAAGAACAGATGAAGGATCAATCTAACAACCAAAAAAAGGTAAATGCTCATAAACAACAAAAAAGGGAAGAGTAAAACAGACCTCCAGTAACAAACAGCTATGAAAGAGAAATTATGCATTCCAGGATGGATGGACACCATTCTTCATAAAGGTGAAAGGGAAGTAAATAAAGTTAGATTTACAAGATAAAAACCACAAGACTGGGAAGTAAATAAAGTTACATTTACAAGCTAAAAACCACAAGTTAACACATTGAATTATTTTTCACAGAAAGAGTGCCAGATAGAGTAAGCAGAGGTATTAATAACCAGCAGTGTTAAACCTCACGTGTTGACTTATGAAAATAAGCCTGCATCAATCCGCTCTCAGTTAGCAACTTCTAGCATTTCCTTCGCCGTGTAATCCACCCTTCCCAATCTGAATCTATCGTTGAATTTCCTTGAAGCAGCAACATCATTGGCCATTGTAGCTATAGCATTTCTCACACCTGAAAACAATTAATCAAACAGTGCTGTTGAGAACAAAAACCGCTAAACATATAGATAACTGAATAGTAATATGTTAATTTGCACCCAATGAAGTCACAATTTAATCATTAGGCATATGTATTCTGCTACTGAAATCCGCCAATTTGGGGTCTCTTGGACAAGTAGTAGTACTTCCACAAATTAAACCTTTTACATAGTGTGTTTTCAGTATCAAGTGAAGAATAGAGGGCAATACAGAAGACAACATTACCAAAGCCCACTTACCCGACATTCTTCTCAGTTTCTTCTTCTCATCGGTCATTCATTGTCAGCATTCTTCTTATTCTTCTTTTAGACTCAAAACAGTTTGATCTGAAATCAAAATAAGTGTTTCCAAATTCCACCACTTACCTGTTGACTGCAGAACACGAGAAAAAGCACCACGCAGTCCCAAATATCTCATATGAATATTAAATAAAAACAATGTTGTTGAAGGCAAGGTAGAACCTCTCAGATTCACATCCACCATATCCAACACCGTAAGAACTCTAAAGTTTCTCAATAATGAAGACAATGACTTACATTGAACTGGTAGAATATCACGATGGGACCAAAACAGAGAGTGAACCTGACTCCTCGGTAATAATTCCTTCAGGGCAGAGTGAGATGTCAGATGGGTGAATGCTGGACCCATGTCACGAATGCAAAGCCAATGGCGCTGGGAATTATACTGAAGAAATACAGACTCATGAGATTCATCTTGTATCGTCCTATAGTCTGCCAAATGCAAGAAATTCTCTTCCAAGGATTTTTGGATGCGCAAGTCATATAGGAGATCATGAACCATGAAAAATCTTATGTTCCCATTGAACCTCTTCGAGAAACCTGAATTAAGTTTTAAGAAACGAGATAATCCAAGTACTCCCTTGCCAAATCTTTTGAGCTAGTCATTTCATTTCCCTTTATGAATCCTTCAGCAATCCAAAGGCGTATTAATTTTCCAGCATGAATGTTTTCACCCCTCCGAAATGCTGGTCCAAAATAGAGAAAGCACGGTTTCAAATGTTGAGGCAAATACTTGCAACTTAGCTCTAAGATGTGCATGCAACCTACACTTGCAAGATGTGATTTCAGATTTTCAGCCACTTCCATCCACAAATCCAATTCCCGTCTCGTCCTTTTCAGGTGAGAGGCAATCAGGACAACTCCCAATGGCAACCCTCTACAATAAACTGCAATTTGTTTGCCTACCTTTAAAAGTTCTTCAGGAATACTAACCCCGCCCGAAAGTTTGGCTTCCATCAATTCCAAACTCTCCTGATCAGAAAATAAGGGAAGACCATGAGAAATCGAATTTGGCTTACACTGTGAAGCAGTATTATGATTTCGACTAGTAAACAAGATTCGACTCCCATTCCTATCATCTGGAAATGGGTATTGGACTTGCCACCACACATCAACGTCCCAAATGTCATCCAAAACAATGAAATATCTCCTCCCCTTCAAACTTTTCCTCACGCGATCAGCTAAATCATGGATTTCTATGTTGCCATAATCCTTGCGGTCAGTATCACTCCGTAAGAGGTCTGTGAATAGATTTTTTAATTTACATTCTTTGGTAACGGAACCCCATGCAAATTTGTGGAAATAATACTGTTTTTGAAGGATCATCATAAATTTTTCTTGCTAATGTTGTCTTGCCTTGGCCAGGCATTCCAGAAATGGAAATGATTGTGAGATCCTTTCTCCCTCCCTGAAGGTTATCCAATATTGATTTTACATACTCTTTGAATCCTATGAAAGCTCCTTCATGCTTTGAAGTTGTTACTTGTGGTGGCAAAGCTTCTGTAGACTCTATTTCACCTGTGAGTTTTTTGTTGATATGCATGACCTCATCTTTAATCTTTTCGACCTCCAACTTCACAAGCTTTATGTGGTGTATGATGTTTGGCAGGCACAGAATGCCGTACCATATTGATGAACTCGTGCTCGGGCACAACTTTGTGATGTATGCTGCATAGTGTATCATGCTGGCAATCTGACTAAGTATACCTTTGAGTTTGTTGTCTTCCTCATTTTGCAGTTCAATGCCATGTGACAGGAGAAATGGCCTCACTGATGCCAACTCTTCATGAATTCCTGTAACTTGATTCATAACCGAAGGAATAAAATCCAGCCCTCCGTGTAGCATCATGATCAGTGTGTCTAAGAGGGAATCTAGAAAACCAATTGGATTAGTTTTTGGAGAATTGAATTGTGATGAAATAGGAGTAACAACATGCAATTCTCTTAATTTAGCCTTAACTCCATCAATCTTACAAAGGAGTTTGCATACTTATCTGTATGGGGAATGCAGATAATAGATGGCAGTTCACTGATGATAGCATTAGTTCCAGACAGTATCAATTCTGTTTCCATTAAATCCCCGTGCAGCGAATCCTTGACAAATGATAACAAGAACATCAGACCTTCGCGAATGGTTTCAGGGTTGATTTCAATGTGATCCTCCAAATAGTTTTTTACCACAAATTCCAGAAGAAAACCAACATAATCTGGAAGGAGTTGAGGAGACATTGCAGATTGGCATGTAAGCGACTTTGGACATCAAGGGACAACGTTATCGACTTTGGATCTCGATCAGTACTTTCCGAAATCACAAAGAATAGCCGAATCCTCTCAGCGGTTGCTAGACTCTCATTCATTTGACAATCAGCCCAATAAATGAATGCGAGATGGGAGATTTGGCTTACCCAAGTGTGAACATGAAGAATCTGGCCAATAAATGAGGATTTCAGCCGTCCTCATTGATGTATGTGGCCACGTTTTAAAAGCATGAAGAATCTCCCCAAACTGAAACATTCTCCGCCTAATAACAGCAATCTGTTGCATCAGTATGGGGATCAAACTGACGAGTACGGGAGGCAAGGGCAGCAAGATTGACGTATATCAAATCCATGAACTCAAATGTCTCTTGTGCATATTCACGAGACGATATCTCGAGTTGGCAATGCAACTCACGTTTGAATCCACCATGTAGTAACATTCTGCACACCTCCCTGATTTCTGGTATATGTCCCTGCAACACTATCTTCAAACGGTAACTCATCGGCTCCCAATTTGTGATCTGATATACTGCGCTTGCAGCTTCATATTGCATTTTGAACTCCTCTGCAGCTTTCCTGAACTTTTGGGCCATCAAAGTGAAATGCAACATCCAATCAGGTGCTAAAAGTTCTTCAGGAAAACACAGACCCCAGAAGAAGATTTGGTAAAATTGCAACTACATAAACATGCGGAGGATGGAACCCATCCATAGAGAAGGATTTTGGGACTTATTATCAAATAATGGTTTCACGATATCAAGTGCAGGATCAACACAAGTGTGATATCGCTTCAACTTCCTCTCCAAGTTGATTTCTATTGCAGGTCGAATCAACAAATGAAATTTTTGTTCAGGAAACAGGTCTAAAATGTAAAGGCTTCTTCTGTTTCTGGAATGACTCCAAATCAGATGATGAAGCAGAATAGTACTGTTTTCATCAAGTTTTTTTTGGTGAGCAATGCAAATAAAGACAACAATAATTCTCAAGCCCGTCCAATATTCTCCTACGATATGCAAATCCAAGGGCTCCACCACTTATAAATTTTTGGCAATTAATGGTATAAAAGTTGAAGCTATACTAATGATCAGGATTAATTAAAGTTGAGCATTTTCCCCAACTTTATGAAAAGTTATAATTAGGCATTTGAAGATAATATATTGAAAACAACTATTTCATGTAAAGTTAGGTTGCCCTTGTTAATTAATTAAAATACACAAAAAGTAATTGTAACTTTATATTTTCCCCCTAATTTTTTAACAAGAAAGTGCTAATGCCATTTTGATTGCACAACAGTAATCCTGTGGAGGAAATTGATTGTTTTTGTGCCTGTTTATCAGAGATGTTCATGGAGGAGACCCCTCAAATGACATGTTCAAGGTAACAAAAATTCATAATTAGTTTGAACATGTTAACATTTTTCATGATCTTGGTGCGTAATGCACCACCACTACTGCAACATCGCCTTTGATGTTCGAATGTCCAAACCGGGTTTTGATTGTAGGAAGGTCCACATCAACTATGGCTCTCATAGAAACATTGCATTCCGGAAAACTAGTGTGTTAGTGTAATCAGGATCATAAGAGTCATTAATGCGGAGTATTTGTTGCTTAATTTTCTAACGGTAAGTTTGTAACCAAACTTCCTAGCTGCTGCAATTTTGCTTCCAGCAATCCTGAATTGCTAACCATGCTCCTTTATCAGGGGATTTAAGGAAAGGGCTTTGACCTAATGAAAGGGTCAACTCTTGTAGCTAGCTTATAATGCAATGTCATCAACAAAAAAAAAAAAAAGCATGGGCTTGCTATATGAGCCTTAACTTTCTCCATGGATTTGCATACTGTTTCTCAAAAATTAGGAGGGATTTTCAGGAAAAGGTCAAGAGAGGGGGAGCTGCCTGCCAGAAGGTGAGCAATATTCGAATTGGAAACAAGGTGAAGATACAAATGACAGGTTGTGCGAGCGACCAAAGCACTATAACAAGCTCATCTTTGCATATGCGAGCTTTCCTATGTGTGGTAAATACTCTCAATTGAAAAAAGAATCATTCTCCATTGAACATCATGGATAGTCTTTACTATTTACTCACCCTTATTGGACAACAACCACAAAGAAAAGGAGGTAAGCTAAAGCAATCATTATGAGCAAAAGTAGAAGGGTTTTCTTCTCATCTTTACACTCAGCAGACGTGCTATTTGTCAATAAATCCATAGGCCTTCAGAAAAGGTGTTCATTTCACCTTCTCTGTTTTAGTGGCAAAATCTAAATGGTGCAATATGATTTGGAGCAAAATTGTCACTCAAGGGAATAGAGAAATAGAGGAAATGATACCTTCACAAAAGAGAGGTAATATGCATGTCAATAGAGCACATCTAAAACTAGGAAGACAAACTTGATCACATGATAACCAGTACACATATTATACAGCACACCAGTAAAAACAGATCTTATGAAACAAATACTGTTGCAACACAACCTACACCTGGGGAGGGGGGGGGCTGTGAAATCAATTCCTAAGTTGACACCAAAGATTGGATTTCGCCCGCAGCACCAGTATCACAACATTGAAGATTGGGTCCAGCACAAAGCATGATCCTCACCACGTTAAAAGATTGGCATACTTATCATCATTCCAAAATCTTCTTCAAGAATCCGCTCAAAGCACAATTCAGACAATTCAAAACTCATGGGCACATACAATACCACAAAAAAAACATTTATTTCAGGAATTGGACTGCTTCCAGCATGATTTAGACATAATGAAGCACAACTTGCTAGCTCAACATACCATTTCACAACACTGTGTATCCACAACCAAATCCAGGAACCAGCATCATGTTCCAAGCACGATCTAAACGATACAAAACATGCCCACATCCTCAGGTGCAATAAATAATGAAATTATTTAAACTAGTCAGCCACTATAGTTGTTGACAAGATTTGAAAGCACAAGTAACTTCAAATCATTTATATCACTCAATAGACTGCAATCAAACTTCAGCCTAAGCCATTTCATAAACTTTCAAGAAAAGATCACACATCCAATATAACTTTACATGGATTCTGATCAAACCTGGAAATTTAAGCCAGTAATACGATTCACAAGCATGCAAAGCATAAAAAAGACATTCAGATATAAACTTGTATCCAAATTTTTAAATAAATAAAATGGGGAACCAAACACATGCATTGCCTGGAGAACTCACCTTGTTCAACTTTACGATTATAAACGTCAACTTTCAAATTGTTTAAGGATAACTATTAGAAACAAGCTATCCTTTTTCGTCAAATTCCAAATACATTTTCAGGGAATCAAGAGATCAGTTTTCCAATCCACGAGCTACGCTATGTGCATTGATGAACACAGAGAAAAAATTGAAGTACTATTGTGAGAATAGAGTTTGGCATCAAGGAGAAAGAAACCCTCAAAGTTAGCTTCTCCATTAAAGGGTTCTGAGCAACAGTAAACCAGGATGGATAACTAAGAAGAGATTTCAACAAAATACTCGAACAGGAAAAGGTTCAGGAATCAGGAGAAACGAGTTTTTCAAAACAGCAAATCAAATCAGATTTTCAAAAATCAGAACGTTCAATGACTGTTACGCCATGTTCAAATCAAATTTTCGTCCAATTCACAACTCTGTTTAACGATCCATGAAACAGACTTAAAATACAGTACACACAGAAGATACTCATGAAAAGAAATCGGAAAAATCGGCTAAAAGAATAACATGAAACGGGCCTCTCAGAAAAGAGACTTGAATCTGTTTTCTGAACTTTCAAAATGAAATCAGTTAACTTTGTCCTGTTTCAAACAGGATATGGGAAACTCCACAATGCTGTAAAGAGTAGTGATGTTGGTTCAGCAAGAATCGCTAAGCTTGCTTCCCTAATAGAGCCAAGTTGAAGGGTTTTAGATTTTTGAAACCAAGGCTAACAATTTGTTTTGGCTTTGAGATAGAGGATCAATTAATTTAGCTCTGCTTTGATGAATTTGGGAGGAAAAAAAAAAAAAACAACTTAAGTTATAACAACTAGTGGACCCAAATATCACTTCCGGCTGAAATGTAAGATTGACAACTATTGGGTAGCTAATTTCATGCTTATAAAGATACATCCGCAGCAATTCCTTTAGTTGTGATTCAGACTAACCTTCTATAATTTCTTTAAAACACTCAAAAGAAGAAAAAAAAAACAACAAAGAAAAATTCTCAGCTGCTTAAAGCACTAATGCATGTAGGACCATCTAGATGCAGTAACAAGATAAACAATGACAGTACAGTAAAAATCTCTAGTATGCAAAGTATGAAGAACAACATCATACTAGCACTTACAGGAAAGAAGTTGCTTTTGAAACATGACATCGATCTATCAATCGACTCAACGGCTTCATGACTATGAGGCAGCAAACAATGGATTCGGTAATTCTTGCTGAGGAGAATCATTTGAACCCCTTGAGATGTGTATAAACCAACTAGGATGGATGATAACCAGATTATCATTGATAATCAACAGTTGAACATTATGTCGATAATTTTGTTGAGGGCAACATCAGACATGGGTTCAATAAGCAGCCCATCATTGTCTGTTAGAGCAATGCTGCTGCTTACTGGTTCTCTACTGGATACATCTGCAAAAAAACATAAGAGGACCAACTTTTTTCACCCTTCCCAACAACAAATAATATGTCTAATGTATTATTTCATTCAGGTAGCACGTCATAGACTCAACTAGTTATCATCTTAAAACTAAAATTCGAGATGTTTCTTGAAATCTAAAGTAATTGGAAATTATGAAGCCATATCATAAGCATATTGTTTGTTTGCGTGTAATTTAGAACAACAGGAGAATCAACTGCTGGAAAATCATTTGAAAGTAAATGTAAGAACCAAACTGAATTACCGAATATTGTATTGAAAGATGTAGGGGGTGGAGTCGCCATGAAATTGAGTCCAATGTAATATCCAATAGCCAGCACTACAGCCACAGTTACATAAGTTGGCACCACCAATGCCCAATACCTGAAAATAAAAATACAAGTAAAAGACTTCTGACAAAAATGAACGTGAGAATGTAATGATAAGATGAAACAAGGAACACAACTAGAGATAAATTTTTAGGAAAAGAAAAACGATATGTTATGGGGCCAGGGTAAGCTTTTTTGAGCTTGCGAGGGTAACAACATGACCAAAACTCCTCAGAGATAACATGTGTACGTCTGGGCGGTAATCATGCTGAAGACTCTGTTGTGGAACCTAACCAATTTTGCTTGGCAATATCCCATAGTTAGCAGAGGTTTAGGAACTAAGGTCCAAGGATTACAAATTGGCACGGCTTCGTGCAACTTAGTTCTCAGGGGAACCTCAACTGCACAGTCAGAAGTTGTAGGCTAGTTGCTATGATATATTGCTTTTCTCACATTCACTAGACTTCTGTCTAGATATCAGACAAGGCAAAGCAACCAAATCGTTCAGTAAAGAAAAAAAAAAGGAATCTGCCGAGTGTGAATTTAATCGTTAAGAGAATCTGGAAACCAGTTGTTCTAATATGGTCAAACAAAACCTTCAAAATATTGCCGAAATACAAGACGCCCAAGTATAAATACAGATCATCCACACATAGAGGAGAATATGGTTGAGAAAGAACCTGCTTGGGTAGTATGAGATTCCGACAGAGTGCATCCAACTGTCTGGAGCAAATGCCCACACCAAGTATACAGCTGCGCAAAAAAAAAAAAAAAAGCAAATTTTAGGCCTATCAGTAATTCCCAGGAACCAATCGTGAATCACATTTTAATAACACTAATTGTTTGGTGTATCAACGATTACAGTACTATGTTACACAGAACGCATTGTAGTTCCTCACCTCGAGTATCTATAAGAACAGCTCAATCCTACGATTTGAACAAGCTTACCCAATAAAGCCAAAATATGAAGCAGTTACTCTTTGATCGGTGGATGAAACCACCATGCAAAGCAGGACTTAAATCAATGAACTGCAGTGAGACCAAAATTTGTAAATGGAAAGAGAATGAATAGGAATGTCACCAGTAGCTACAACAGTGGAAATGGAGCCAACAAAACCATAAACTTCAGAGGGCTTAGGACCATGCTCCCCAGAAATACCAAACCCTGAAGTACTCTTGTCATTTCTTGTCTTCGATGGGTATGGAAATGATTCAATAACTTTTCTATTCTTTGATAAGCTCAGAGTTCTCCTTGGACTATTAACAGAACATTGGTCCTCCATTTACTGCAAATTCACTTCCCACCCTATTGATATACCGGCACCAGACTTGGGAAAAGCTGAACAAATGATTTCTCTGGTTGATCCACTGAAATATTGATGTGGATGGTAAGGCCAGGTAGATTTTCTTGAATAAGCATACACTGTTTTCAAAATTTCGAATGCCCAAGAATTATTAATGCTAACAAAAACATAGTATCACAGCATCATTAATGTGGAATTGCAGAGATATGAAACTACACAATGCTAAGGCCATAATCCAACAAATCGACATAAGATCTATTGTAATAGTAATAAATCCACACAGCAACTTGCATTTTTAACTAAAACACAACCATCAACTTCGAAATCAAAGTCAAACAACAAAAATTAAAAGAGAAAATTGATATAAACCATATTCAACCACAAGTCAGGATGAAGACCAAGTAAAGAAAGAAATTTTAGGAAATGCAACAGGAGATCATGATAAGATGAGTTCAAAAAGTAAAGTGGACAAGATATGTAAGGCCGAAAAGGGAAGGGAATTTTTTACTACCTGGAAGGGAGTGGGTATGATGACTAAATTCAGGAGGTATAACATAATGAAAACAAAGAAGAAATCTAGAGCATCTTCCACCACTTTCCGGTCATGCATCCGTAAACACAGAGATGGAAGTTTCAAAACAAGATCCCTTCAGAAAGATTGATATACATACTTTGTTTTGCATAACCCATAACTTATTGAGTTCTTATGGATATTATCCTCTTCTCAAGCAAGAGAAGAATAAGAATTATTTTACAGCACCCAAAAAAATTTTTTTTTTTTTTTAAAAAGAATGTTCCAAAATAAGCCCATTCAGATCGCATGAATCAAAATTTCATTCAAAAGAAACATTTTATGTTACGACTAAATTAACTCACTGATCTGTAAAGTTAACTAGCTAGAACTTGCGTAAGCAAATCAAAACAACTAAATTGAAGTGGTGTGCCAAAGTAATCACGAAGACATAGTTGCAGAAATTTTTGGTAGCTAGAAGAGTCTTACATTTATTTAAGAGAATAATACAGCCACTGATATTATTGGAAAAAAAGTGCACAAACTTGTACACTTATGGACTTTAATTCAAAGAAGGATTCACACTAGGTCAAAAAAAACCCAATAGAGATTTGAAGCTGCTGAAACAAAGAGAGGACTTGAATTTTTGGTTGATTGTAGATACCAGAGCGAGCTACACCAAAGATACGTAGAGATGGAAATTTTAAAAGTAATCCAACAAATTAGAAAAAAAAATGGAGATCTAAAACTAAAAATCAAACGAGAACAGTTCATAATTTAACAGTTCCTTCCGTTCTAATATTCTATCCAAAAGTTATCAATATGGTGTCTCTAGGACCTGTTCGAGTCCAAAAGATGTTAAGTTATTTAACAAGATGTTGTAGAACAAAATGAACGGTGATATAATTAAAATATTAGAAAAAGAAACCAAAAGAAATATTGCAAGCCTGCCTTCACATTGAGTACAGCTTTTCTGGTACGTCAGTTCATACAAAATGGAGTCTCTTTCCAGATGACATCCTCATATCTAAACAATCTAGCAAAACAAGACACCAACTGCTCCTGTACAAACTCATCAGCAGGAAGACTAGCAATCTTACCTACTTCTTTCCTCAACGATGTAACTTCTTTATCAGCAATCCCACAAGGCACAATATTTTCAAAGTAACTCAAATCAGGATCAATGTTAAATGCCAACCCATGTGAAGTAACCCCAAATGAAATCCTCACCCCAATGGCACCAATCTTTCTTTCCTCAACCCAAACACCAGTTTCCCCAGTCCCTGCCTGTCCAGCACGAGCTTCCACGCCATACAAGGCGGATAATTTAATCATGGTTTGCTCTAGCGTCTCAACGTACTTTCTTGCCCCAAATCCGATATCCCTCAAATTAATAATCGGGTATAGAATTGCTTGATGAGGACCGTGGTAGGTGACATCACCTCCTCTTTCGGTGTAATGCAACTCAGCTCCTACATCTTCGAATTGTGACTTGGAGACTAAAAGGTTATGATCAGTTTTCCTTTTACCAAGCGTGTAAGTATGCGGATGCTGCAGAGACAGCAGCGTATCAAGGATCTTCCCGGCCTTTCTATCTGAAACTAACTTTTCCTGCAACTTAAGCCCTTCCGAATACTTAACAACTCCCATCCTCCAAACCTCAAGGATTCTTCTCCTTGAAGTCGCTGCCATCTATTATCTTGATCTTTACTCCTATAACAAGTTTAGACATATTAATAATCTTTATTCTTGTAATACGTTCCAGTACTGTTAAACTGAGTTTAGTCAGGAACTAGGATTTAGCATTAATTAATGTTCATACTTAAAACCGATAGTCACTTTATGAACATGCATATCTCTTCGGTTTGCTATTTGAACAATTATTTCAGCACTTCAGTTGAACAATGGCAATATGCTCTGCTTCTTAACAAATGAAAATATGAACTCTTCTTATTATTTTGAAGCGTATACGGGAAAAGCAGTCAGTTCGTAAACATGGCCGACTGTAAGTGATTGAACATTAACCTTCATATTAGCTTAGTTGTGTACTGAGTTTTAACGGATAAATTTAGGATAGTTAACGTATCCTAAACAACTACAAACAGAAACTAATCAAACTCTGGAAAAACAAATTTAGCTAACTAATTAGGTAAAATAGCTACTTTACCTTCCAATCAAATGTTTGATTTAGTATCCAACTACAAAGACCACCTCAAATCCTTCCAGTTAATAACAAATTCATAATGAAGTATCAGTTTCATTATATGAGATTTATATACCACATTACGATTAATTTTAAACACAGAAGAGAATACAAACAGTCACAAGATTCGGAAATCAGTAAATTTCAGAGGAACAAAACAAAATAGAGGATACTCGTAAACACGAACCTTAATAAGGAGGTGTGAGAACTGGGGATTTCCTAAAGCTGCAAAAGTTGCGCTGATACTTCTTGATGCCAATTCAATTGATTATTTCCGCGGGAAAAGGACCTCTCGCCGTCGCCGCCCGGAATACCACTGCTTCCAACAATTTTGATTCAGCCGGAAATGGAATACACCAGCAGGAATTAGGGCCCCCGGAGAAGAGATATCATATTTCCTAATTGGGCAAACAAACGGTTCTGTAGAAAAAAAAATAAAAAATAAAAAACTTAAAACGAGCCAGTTTACTGTCTTGCCCCTAGTTAAAAATTTTGCCATGTAACTGTAATGTGAATCTGATGTGAGGGTGCAGCCTGCACTACGGCCAAATCTTCATTTTTTAAAAAAATAATTCATCATTTTTTATTTTCTCTTAATTTAATGAGGTTTTTCAGGGTCATATCCCAAGTTTGAAGTTTGAACTACACATTTTTCCTTGGTTTCATTCTGAAAAGATCACTCAGTTCCACTAGTGTGAAGAGATTATCAGCTTTATTTTGAGTTTGAAACTCTGAATCTCAGGTTGAAAAGAAGTTAGTAAAAAGTTACAATAATTAGGCTATTTTTATAAAGAAAACTAGATGCTTGGCCCGAACAGATGTCCGGGCGCCCCCTCTAAATTATTATTTTATTAAAATCTAATTGAATTACTATTTTTTGAGGAATTAATTTGGCGTATATATCATTTGTGCTATGGTTTGGGGCTTAAAAAAATATACCTATAAATCTGAGGTTATAAACGAATAATAAATAATTAGTTTATAAGGCATTATTCTTAATTGCTGGATTTAGGTATTTTTATTTTTTGTTTTATATTAAGCCTGCAAAACTATACGATTGGACATTTGAATTTGAATTAATATATCCATTCGTTTGAAATATAACTGATCCTTATTTGTAGTAAAACATGTGTTTTTTTTAAAAAAAAATTATATAGCTTCTAATTAAAAGAGACTTACACGTGGCAAAAAAATTTCTGAAATCTGAAATATGATGCATTGGAGCCAAAACAGATGCATACGTAGTTGCCACATAAGCTTCGTGTCTTCTGCTTTAATAGGGTAAAAGGGATAAAAGGGATGATACATACAGTGAAAAATGAATGGCGAAATGTGATAATGACTGATATGATACATATCTATTTACTTAACTATTCCTTATGTTGGAATTAATTTAGTGGAGGGTGGTGTTACTGTGTTTTCATAAGTCACTGTTCCGTTTTCACTGCATATTGTTATTGTGCCTATCATTATTTTATTTTTAAATAATTCGATTTATTCATTTCCTAAAATTACTTCTTTAGTTTTTTAATAGACCTAATTTAGATTGGAAAAAAAAAAAATTCCCAACTCTCTTTGAGGATTACAAAAATATCACATGTACTCACTAGTTACTACTATTTTCAAAGCAGAAACATTAGAATTAAACTAATTTTTTTACAAAAAACAATTTTTTTAAAAAAAAAAAAAGTGGGAAAAAGGGACCTGCAAGCAAAACCGGGCGAGACCCGAATATAGAACCCCTCTAATTTTCCCGCCATTTTCTTCAGTAGAGCAATTCATTCATTCCACAATCAAATTATTCTAATCAAACCCAGTAGCACAATATCTGAATCTCTTCACTGGAGAAGGTGTAGAATCCATTCAAATTATCGAAGACTCCCACTGCAAAATGAAGGGTGGAACTGTTCAAATCAATTGGCATGATACTAAGCCTGTGTTAACCCTAGATTTCCATCCACTTTCCGGAATTCTTGCCACGGGCGGTTCAGATTTCGATATAAAGGTTCGAATCGGCGCTTTTAGTTACTCAGATTTCTCATATATGGTGTTATTCATATATGGTGTTATTTAATGTCTGCTTTTGCTATAGAGAATGATGATGAATTTGATGCATTTTCTATGTTCAGTTCTGGTGAGCTTTTTCAGTTGTATTTTGTAATTATTTACAGCAACTATTACCAAAGATTCAATTTTGTGGCTTTCTGGGGGTATAAATATCGTTTGATCATTGAAGCTTTCCTTCTGGAATTGTGGATTATTTGAAAGTCTTGCTGTAGTATTCATAATCTAAGAGGAGAAGCATTAAGATTTCTGGGTGTTAGGCATGTTTTCGGGTAAATTCTTGACTGTGTTAGTTGCCATTATTTCAGCTATGGACAATAAATTCAGGTGAAGAGCAAGTTAAAGGTCCAGGAGCTACTTACAAGACTAGTCTTTGCTACCACACTTCAGCCGTGAATGTCCTCCGCTTCTCTCCCTCTGGTAGTCTTGTTTACTTGTCTTACCGAAAATTTGAGAAGGATTGCGATCTGAGTTCTGCCAAATATTATATTCCTAGCACTCACAGTTTTGTACCTTTCTATTTATTTTTTATTTATATTTTAATTTCAATTGATAACCGAAATAAAATGTACTTCTTGATTATGTTAAAATGTAGAAGTGATTATTACGTATTTGTTTGAGTTTCTGATAATCAAATTTCTATATGCACAGGTGAGCAGCTTGCCTCAGGTGCTGATGGTATGTATAGCTCTCCCTTTTCACTCCGAGTTTATTGAAATTTGTTCTTTTGTCTAGCTTCTTTTGTATTTCAACTCTGATTTTTGTATATGTTGAGCCTAATATTTCCATTTTAGGCGGTGAACTTGTAATGTGGAAGCTGCACTCTACTGATGCTGGTGAAATGTGGAAATTCCTAAAGACTTTCACGTAAGCAAGCATTGTGGTTACTTTTTTTATCTCTATTCTCTTATCATTCCATTTTTATGTTGAGCTTTAGATCTTCTGATCTTTGTCTTCCATCTGCTTTTTCCCTTCCTTTTCTATTAACCTTATAGTAGTACATGTTTCTAGGGAGGATCCCTCCTTTTTCGTCAAACAGTCAGCAGGTGTTTTCTTTACCAACTAGAAATTACTCCTCTGGATCCTTCAGAAGTTACATATTACCAGCTTGCCTACCACTAATAGTCCAGAAAATAAATTTCTTTCATGGGGTTGCAGAAGTTATTAATGTCCACAATGTGCAACAGCAAAAATAGTCTGCTAGTCATGGGAGACATGGCTGAGTCATATATAAATATCATTTCTATCAGTATCAACATTGGAATTGTTTTTCTCGCCAAACTTATCCAGGTTCCATCGTAAGGATGTCTTGGATTTGCAATGGTCTACTGACGGGGCATATTTGCTTTCTGGTTCTGTGGATAATTCTTGCATAATATGGGATGTCAACAAAGGTACACTTGGAAGCATGCAATATTTCCTTTCTTGATCATTAGTTGGTTAGTCTTGGTTTGCATTGAAAGAAGACTTTAACTAAGGAAATAAAAGATAATAATGCTGTTACACGGACGTGATCCATTAATGAGGAAACTGACTGTACTTTTCAGGTTCTGTGCTTCAAATTTTGGAAGGTCATTGCCATTATGTGCAGGGTGTTACATGGGATCCTATCTCTAAATTTGTTGCTTCACTCAGCTCCGATAGGACCTGCAGGATTTATGTTAAGAAACCATCTAAGGCAAAAGGAACTGAGAGGAGTAATTACACTTGTCAGCATATCTTATCAAAGGTGGAAACCCAGATTGTAAATGAACCCAAGGTTAGAAAAATCTTTTTTTGTTTTTGAGTGTTCAGTGGTAAATTTGCGACATTCTGTTGAGATCCTTCTGTTTCTGTTGTACTCTTCAGTCAGGCAAAAGTTTTCTCTTTCATGATGAGACACTGCCATCGTTTTTTCGGAGATTAGATTGGTCTCCGGATGGTACATTTTTGCTCGTACCTGCAGGTATATCCTTGTCATTTTTGGTGCTTTAAGATAAATTCAGCAAAGTTGAACACTTTTCTCATTGAAACCCTTATGTATTTCACGCTCAATATAGGTACCTATAAACAAACCCCAGGCTCTGAAGCAGTAAACACTGCCTACATTGTTTCTAGAGAAGATCTTTCTAGGTAAGTTTGCATTTGTTAGTTTAAAAGTAAAATAACCACAACTTCGAGGAACAATGTGCAAAGTTTATGATCTCTATTCTTTTTGACAATGTGATGAAGGATACTGCTTCTTCATAGCACTAAATTTGAAGTTGAATTGCCATCGTTTTTGCTAAGTTAAACTCTCAAATTTTTCTGAGTGTTTAGGCCTGCACTGATGCTTCCTGGTGCCAGCAGACCTATTGTGGCTGTGCGCTTTTGCCCTTTGACTTTTAGCTTGCGGGGACAGAATTCATGTAAACTTTTTGTTGTCTCATTTTCGGGATCATTTGTTGTCTGTGACTTTATCTATATTCTGAATAGAAATTTTATCCCCTTGTACAGCGACCTTCTTTAATCTTCCTTATCGGCTTATTTTTGCGGTGGCAACGATGAACTCTTTGTATATCTATGACACAGAAAGTGTGGAACCGATCGCCATTGTAGCAGGAATTCATTATGCTGCAATAACAGACATCGCCTGGTACTTACTTCAGTGTCCTTGCAGGCTTACTGCTTGACTTTAGCTCTGTTGCAAAAATGACACCCTCTTTGGATCTGTTTGTTAAGCCTTTCACTTTCTTAATTATGTCCAGGTCTTTTGATGGCAAATATATAGCACTGTCCTCCCAAGATGGCTATTGTACTCTCCTTGAATTTGGAAATGAGGAGCTGGGATCAGTTATAAATCCATCAGGTTTGCGTTTGATTTTGAGTGTTCGTGTTTATTTATCTGCAATTGACATACTGGATCAGGTTTGATTCCATTTCATATTTTTAATAGCACCGTAGAACCAGAGATTATGGCTACTAACGAAACAGTTACCATCTTATGGCAGGGTTCCCTGTTGCAAAAAAGAAAGCCAATGACAGCACGGCTGGTGCAGACATTGGTCTGGAGCGTAAGGAGGAGAAGCAAGAACAATCTTTTCCAGTTACCACTCAAGCACCAAATAAACCTGCCAAAAGGCGTATTACCCCGATGGCAATTGACTGAAAGTGTAGCTCATCTGTATAGAGAAACTGCTTAACTTGTTTTCTTCTGTTTTTTTAAGGGTATGGATTTGTTTGTTTCTGAGGGTATGGATTTGTTTGTTTCTGAGGGTATGGATTTGTAGGAAGGTGCACAGTGGAGGAATATATGAATCTAAACTTCGTTTGTCCTGCCCATTTTTAAGATCATATTATGCACAATGTTAGTAATATAAGGCATGATTCCAAATGAGGTTTTTAGGTCATCTTCAACTCATTACTCTAAAATGGTGTTAAGGTGGTATATTTACTTTAACTTAATCCATCTTCTGTCTTTCACACCAATAGGGATATTTGCAGTTATACTCTTTCTTACAAATCCTTCAGCAGTCCAAAGGCGTATCAATTTTCCAACATGAATGTTTTCACCCCTCCGAAATGCTGAGCCAAAATAGAGAAAGCACGGTTTTAAATGTTCAGGCAGATACTTATAACTCAGCTCTAAAAGGTGCATGCAACCTTCACTTGCAGGATGTGATTTCAGATTTTCAGCCACTTCCATCCACAAATCCAATTCCTGTCTTGTCCTTTTCAGTGAGAAGCATTCTGGACAACTGCCAATGGCAACCCTCTACAATAAACTGCGATTTGTTCGCCTACTTTTAAAAGCTCTTCAGGGAAACCAACACTGCACAAAAGCTTGTCTTTCATCAATTCCCAACTTTCCTTATCCGAAAATAAGGGAAGACGATGAGAAATCGAATTTGGTTTACACTGTGAAGCAATATTATGGTTTCGACTAGTAAACAAGATTCGGCTCCTGTTTCTATCATCTGGAAATGAGTATTGGACTTGCCACCACACATCAACGTCCCAAATGTCATCCAAAACAATGAAAATCTCCTCCCCTTCAAACTTCTCACACGATCAGCTAAATCATGGATTTCCAAGTTGCCATAATCCTTGCGGTCAGTATCACTCCGTAAGAGGTCTGTGAATAGATTTTTTAATTTACATTCTTTGGTGACAGAACCCCATGATCTGTGGAAATAATACTGAATTGAAGGATCATCATAAATTTTTCTGGCTAATGTTGTCTTGCCTTGCCTCTTTGAATCCTATGGAAGCTCCTTCATGCTTTGAAGTTGTTGCTTGTGGTGGCAAAGCATCTGTAGACTCTATTTCACCTGTGAGTTTCTTGTTGATATGCATGACCTCATCAATAATCTTTTCGACCTCAAACTTCACAAGCTTTATCTGGTGTATGACGTTTGGCAGGCACAGAACCCCATACCAAATTGGATAAACTCGTGCTCGGGCACAACTTCGTGATGTATGCTGCATAGTGTATCACGCGGACAATCTGAGTCAGTATACCTTTGAGTTTGCTGTCTTCCTCATTTTGCAGTTCAATGCCATGTGACAGGAGAAAAATGGCCTCAGTGAAGCTAGCTCTTCATGGATTCCTATAACTTGATTCATAACCGAAGGAATAAAATCCACCCCTCCTTGTAGCATCATAAGCAGTGTGTCTAAGAGGGAATCTAGAAATCCAATTGGATTAGTCTTTGGAGAATTGAATTGTGATGAAATAGGAGTAACAACATACAATTCTCTTAATTTAACCTTGACTCTATCAATCTTACAAAGAAGGTTGCATAACTTATCTGTATGGGGAATGCAGATAATAGATGGCAGTTCACTGATGATAGCATTAGTTTCAGACAGTATCAATTCTGTTGCCATCAAAATTTCGTGCGGCGAATCCATGACAAATGATAACAAGAGCATCAGACCTTCGCGAATGGTTTCAGGGTTGACTTCAATGTGATCCTTTGAATAGTTTTTTACCACAAGTTCCAGAAGAAAATCAACATAATCCGGAAGGAGTTTAGGAAACACTGCAGATTGGCATTTAAGCGACTTTGGAGTCGTTAACACATCAAGGGACAACCACTATTGACTTTGTATCGCGATTACTACTTTCCCAAATCGCAAAGAACAGCTGAATCCCCTTAGCGGTTGCTAGACTTTCATTCATTCGATGATCAGCCCTATACAGGAATACGAGATGCGAGATGTTACATACCCAAGAGTGAAAATGGTAGATGATTTCAACCGTCCCCATTGATTTAAATGGCCACGTTCTAAAAACATGTAGAATCTTCGTAAACTGAAACATTCTCTGCTGAATAACAGCAATCTGTTGCGCCACTATGGGATCGAACTGAAGGGAAATGACGTCGAGAGCACCAAGATTGATGTCTATCAAATTCATGAAATCAAAAGTCTCCAGCACATATTCACGAGTCGATATCTCGAGTTGGCAATACAACTTACGTTTGAATCCGCCATGTAGTAACATTCTGCACATCTCCCTGGTTTCTGGCATATGTTCCTGCATCACTGTCTTCAAACGGTAACTCATCAGGTCCCAGTTTGTGATCTGATCTTCTGCGCTTGCAGCTTCATTTTGCATTTTGAACTCCTCTGCAGCTCGCCTGAACTTTTGGGTCATCAAAGTGAAATGCAACATCCAATCAGGTGCGAAAAGTTCTTCAGGAAAACACATACGCCAGAAGAAGATTTTGTAGAATTGCAACTCCATAAACAAGTGGCAGATGGAATCTATCCAAAGAGAATGATTTCGGGACATATTATCAAATAACGGTTTCACAATATCAAGTGCAGGATCAACACAAGTGTGATACCGCTTCAACTTCCTCTCCATGTTGATTTTTATTGCAGGTCGAATCAACAAATGAAATCCAAGAAACAGGTCTAAAATGTAAAGGCTTCTTCGCTTTCTGGAATGAATCCAAATGAAATGAAGAAGCAAAACAATACTTTCTTTATCAAGTTTCTTTGTTTTTCTGAGAGCAATGCAAATAAAGACAACAATAATTTTCAGGCCCATCCAATATTTTCTTAGGATATTCAAATCCAAGGGCTCCACCACTTTGAAATTTTTGGCAATTAATGGTACAAAATGTTGAAGATACTGTACACTAATAATCACGGTTTTAAGCATTTTCCCCTACTTTATGTAAAGTTATAATTAGTCATTTGAAGATAATATATTGAAACAACTATTTTATGTAAAGTTAGGCCTTTGGGTACCCTTGTTAATTAGTTAAATAAATAAACATGAATCCATGATTCAGCCAACGAGTTGAAGATTTAAGAAATTCCCTACTTTTAACTTTATATTTTCCCCTAACTTTTTAACAAGAAAGTGCTAATGCCATTTTGATTGCACAACAGTAATCCTGTGGAGGAAATTGATTGTTTTTGTGCCTGTTTATCAGATATGTTCATGGAGGAGACACCTCAAATGACATGTTCAAGGTAACAAAAATTCATAATTAGTTTGAACATGTTAACATTTTTCATGATCTTGGTGCGTAATGCACCACCACTACTACAACATCGCCCTTTGATGTTCAAATGTCCAAACCGGGTTTTGATTGTAGGAAGGTCCACATCAACTATGGCTCTCATAGAAACATTGCATTCCGGAAAACTAGTGTGTTAGTGTAATCAGGATCATAAGAGTCATTAATACGGAGTATTTTTTGCTTAATTTTCTAACGGTAAGTTTGTAACCAAACTTCCTAGCTGCTGCAATTTTGCTTCCAGCAATCCTGAATTGCTAACCTTGCTCCTCTTTTAGGGGATTTAAGGAAAGGGCTTCGACCTAATGACCTTAGACTGCAAACAAACCAACCCCTCATTCAAATATGACTACAAGACATGAAAAGGTCAACTCTTGTAGCATATAAATGTAATATCATCAATAAAAAGCATCGGCTTGCAATATCAGCCTTAGCTGTCTCCATGGATTTGCATAATGTAACTCAAAAATTAGTAGGGGTTTCCAGGAATAGACGAAAAGGTTGGGGGGGGTGGGTTGCGTTGCCTGCCAGGAGGAGAGCTTTATTCGAATTGGAAACAAGGTGAAGCAGGCCTTTCTTGCATAGGGTCAAGAAGAAGATACAAATGACAGGTTTTGTGAGCGGTAACAGCACTATAACAAGCTCATCTTTGCATAACAGGGCTTTCCTATATGTGGTAAATACTCTCATTGAAAAAGGAGGTAAGCTAAAGCACTCGTTATAAGCGAAAGTAGAAGGGTTTTGTTTTCATCGTTTCGACTTTGGACTCTAAAATTTTACACCCAGCAGATATGCTTGCAATTCTATAAATCAATAACTCCAAAGGCCTTCAGGAAAGATATTCATTTCTTCTTTTCTGCGTTACTGACAAATTCTAAGTGCAATAAGATTTGGATCAAAATTGTCGCTCATGGGAATAGAGGAATACAGAAAATCATTCGTTCACAAAAGAGTTCACAGAGCACATGTAAAACTAGGAAGATACCTTGATTTTTCACAGACAGCGCACCACAAACAGATCTTATGAAACAAATAGTGTTGCAACACGGCCTACATAGGAAGAAGATATCAAGGAATTATGTCGTCTTGTAAATTTAATTCGTGAGTTGACACTGAAGATTGGATTTCACTCGCAGCACAATTATCATACCATTGAAAATTGGGTCCTGCACCATGAGCCTCACCTCATTAAAAGATTGGCATACTTATCATCATTCAAAAATCTTCTCTCAACAGCACAATTCAGACAATTCTAAACTCATGGCCACATAAAAAACCGCGACATCACATTTATTTCAGGAATCAGACTGCTTCCAGCATGATTGAGACATAAACAAGCGCAACTTTGCAAGTTCAACATACTATTTCACAACACTATGTGCCCATAATCAAATCCAGGAACCAGCATGTTCCAACTTCCAAGCACGATCTAAACAATTCAAAAACATGCCCACTTCCTCAGGTGAGAATAGTTAATGAAATTATTTAAACTAGTCAGCCACAAGACTCATTGACAAGATTCAAAAACACAAGCCAATTCAAACCATTAATATTTCTCAACAGACTCAATCAAACTTCAGACCAAGCTATTTCACAAATTTTCAAGAAAAAATAACACATTCAATGTCACTATACATGCATGCCCATCAAACCAGGAAATTTATGCCAGTAACACAATTCACAAGCATGCAAAGAATGTAACGACATTCTGAAATAAAGAATCATATATATACTTTTTTTAACAAATATAATAGGGGAAGCAAACACATTCATTGCCTGCAGGACTCACCTTGTTCAACTTTGCAATTATAAAGGTCAACTTTCAAATCTTTTCAGATGCCTTTTAGAATTGAGCTATCCTATCTCGTCAAGTTCCAAATGCATTTTCAGGAATCCAAGAGATCATTTTTTCAATCCATAAGCTTCGCTATGTACCTTGATGAACTGAGAAAGAAAGCAAATAAATCCAAGCGTTCAATGACGCCACCTTCAAATCAAGTTTTTGTCCAATTCACAACTCAGTTTAACAATCCATAATAACTGAATTAAAATGCAATATACACAGAAGATATTCACGAAAAGAAATCTCATAAGTTGGTAAAAGAATAACATGAAACAGGACTCTCAGAAAAGAGACTCGAATCTGTTTTCTGAACCTTCAGAATGAAATCAGTCAACCTATCCTGTTTCAAACAGGATATCTAAAACTCCACAATGCCGTAAAGAGAGATAACCATGGAAGAAGCCTCAAAGGTTTCCACTCAAATCCGAATTCTGAAAATGCCTTTTTGCTCCCAACTAACTTCAATCAAATGCAAACAAGCAAAATCCAGTTTCTAGAAAACCAATTATCCATTTTTTTTTCCAGCCATTCCATTAACAATCTTTAGCAACTAAACATAGCATGCAACCAAAAATTCATGATTCCTTCTCAAAAACTAATTCGTAAACTTGAATACTAGAGATTTCCTATCGTTTGGACAGTAATATTTACCTCTTTCGGCTGCTTATTCAAGGCCATAATGCACCTTAATTTGCTGCTGCTTCAGTACTTTGTTGATTGGAACTTGAAAGTTGAAACCAAGTAAAGCAAAAATTTCAACTTCCATTCCTCCTCTGATCTACTTCCTCCATCGGCCCCCTTCTTTCTCTCTCATCTCTCTCTTTTCCCTTCTTTCTCATTCCAGACGTTAAATTCAAGCTCGGAAACGAAAATAATATGGGGCGAATCGGGTCGGGAAGGTGGAAGATGAAGAAGATGATTATTTTAGTGCCCTTTTCTACTTTAAATAAATAAATGTTGTTCAAGTCGGTTTAGTCCCCAAATATTCATATGGTATGTATATGGAAGGGGGAAGAGAAGTAAATTCGCTCAAATATTCGTCCCTTGGTTCGTCGACTCTATTAATCTATCCATGTTAATTTTATGTTTTCAACAGTTTAGTCCTCAACTTTTATCTTACATAGAAGCATAACCAACGGATCGATAATGTCGTGAGTTTCTATGGGATATTAATGCCTCATGTAACTATACTACTATAGTTGGATGGGATCAGCTTTGTTATAAAAAATCAGAGGAGGGTTAGGAAATTAAAAATGCAAGAGTTTGGAATAACGTGGCGATCTTGAAGCAGGTATTGTGGTTGGCACTTAAAAGACAATTTTTGGGTCATAATTAAGTGAGGAATCAGCCCCAAATATTTGCAGGGTCGACCATAACTATAATTTTTTTTTTCAAAAATTATATAAAAAATTTAAAGTATTTTTCCAAAAAAAAATTACCGACCGCAAGGTCGACGGACCTGCTTTGCTCCCCCTAGATCCATCCCTGCATGAATTGCGTCTAAAGGATCAGTGTATTTGGGAGTGCAATCAAAGAATGACAGTAACTGGCATTGGAAGCAGTTAATACGAATCATAGATATGGCTAAAGAGGTATTTGAGGATGGCAAATGGTAGTTGAATAGCTCAGGATGTATACCATCTCTAAAGGTTATAATTGGATGATTGAGAGGCAGGAAAAAATAGAAGCAGCCAAGTGAATTTGGTCTAGCTTGAATGTTCTAAAACATTCTTTCATTGTCTAGTTATATTGGAACGGAAGATTATAGAAAAAAAAAAAATACAGGTTGGCCTAATCTAATATAAAGGTAGATGAGGTTGTGTGCAGACTATACAATCAGTAGGATGAAACAACTCAGCACTTGTTCTTTCAGTGCAGTTATTCAGCTTGAAGTGATCAGAATAATAAAACAGTGGATGGATATTAGGAAGTTGACTATCAAATGCAACATATAGTAGCAGGAAATAAAAAAAAAATCCAAAGTGAAGAAGGAGGTTCTATATGCAGTTGTCATGGTCAGTATATTTTATATATGAGAAGAACGAAATTTGAGAAATTTCGACACAGCTGATTTAAGATGAAATTAGAGTGAGAGCACTTTTATGAAAACATAGTGAATATCAATGTAAGCTCTTCCTTAGATCAACTATTTAGTTATATGATGTACAATATAGAAGGCTAGAGATATGCAGAATGATCATATTGTAGGGGGTTATGAATGTATAGATGGCAAGTGTAAAAATATGGGATGTAAGATGTTCGGCCAGTTTTTTGCTATTCGGACCGACGGGTGATCCATGAGTTTCGGTTAATTTATATGGGCATGGTGGAAGTTTTAAGGCTCTAAAATAGCCCAAAAGAGGCCACGGTACGTTTCAAAATAATATGGGCTGGTTGAGTGTGAACAGTTTCAGAATTGAAGAAGGAAAGTATAAGCCAAGTGGGAATAAAATTATTTCAGAATCGGCTGCATAATTAATTGGTAATTAAGGAAGATTCTTCCGTATTTCTCGCTCCTTTTAATAAGGTAAATTACCAGTAATTAAGGAGATATATTTGGGAAAGGATTCTTTTATCAAATTAAGAACTGAATATTAGAAGAGTCATCAACCGGTTGGGAGAATATTGCGGGAATAATGACTTATTTTCAAGGAAATTGACCTTGTTAAGCAACCTTTTCTCCAAGGAATCATTGGGCAGTAAGGGTTTCATCCAAGCATTATAAATAGAGGCAGCCATGAAGAGAAAATTATGAACGATCAGCCATAACGCTTATTTTCTTCGTGTTTTACTATTTTCTGTACCGTTCATCATGTTTTACATTCTTTATGGTAGTTCATCACGTTCTATCATGCTTGTTTAGCCCCTAACTTTTTTCTCCAATATAGAATTAGGTAGGTGTTTACTTTTTTCTACTCTAACGAATGCGGTTATGCTTTAATAGGCATTTTAACACTTTTGTATGTCGGACTACCCTCTGCACGTCCGTCCTCTCTTTGCCTTCTATGTAATAGCATGTCACCGGCACCATTTATAGCTTACCGGTGATAGGATCTTCCACTTTATGAGTCAAGCGCCATATCTTCGGCTTTTCTCAACTTTCTCTAAGTCTCTACCTTTCTTTCTCAAACTAAAGCCAATAACCCTAAGTCCTCTATCCTAGTCTGAGGCCAGTTCGAACTCAACCACAATCGTCTAATTTAATTGTGTCTTGGGTGATTCTTGTTCTCCTTTTTCTCACGGTTTCGGGTGCACAATTTTCACGAAAATATAATTTGGCACGCCCAGTGGGACAAGCTTTAGTTTGATTTGTAAATCATGGAAGTCTGTCATCATACCACGAAATTTTCTGTGTCATAAAAAATTAAAAAAAGAGCCTTTTTCCTTTTCGTCATGTCATATCTAAACACCCAAAATTATGTCTTTGACACTTCTGGATGTCCGGTCTACACCCTTGTTCTGTATAGCCAATTGCCTGAAAATTCTAGCCTTACATGCACATTCCCCAACATCCAATATAGCACGTCACCACTTGGTGGGCAGATCTATCAACAACCTCAATCCTCATCACCCTAGATCTAACATAGCCCATCACCACTTAGTAGGTAGATTTTCCATGAGTTTATATCGGCACAACCTTGCTTTAGCGTTATATATGTCGTCGATCAACAATAGGAGTAGCAGATAGAGTGTCATGTTTATAGTTGGTGCTAAAATAGTGTTGATCATCAGAACAATGCAAATCTGGTTAGTGCACCGATTCCTTATACTTATGCTGATTGCAACTCTCAAGCAACCGACAACAGAACTGTATGCCATTTTATCCAATCAGATGATCAGTATGGCATAGATTGGCAATCCAGCAATGCCGATGAATGAGATCAAAGCTCAACAATGCAAGAACTTTCAAGTCTCGGGGGGCAAGCCATTTTTGGCAATCATCTGCATCAATACGGTTTCCATGATAGGCTCGATGGTGGTCAGATGAATGCATATATTCTATTCGAAGATGGTGGACAACAATCTGCAGTTTTTGATCATGAATCACAACAGTTTCAGCAACTGATTTGTGACCTTTCAACAGCTATTGTTGCAGTCACAGTAGAGTCAGCTATCACCGATGCATATCTAATAATTCTATTCACGACCAGTAGAGTTTCAGCAAGCCGATTGGTGGGCAACACAATCTATTCAGTTCGAATCGACGTAGTCCCAACAATCGCCAATGGAGTCTTCATAGATTCAACTATCATCAACACCAGTCCAACATGTTTGGCTTACAACCGATTCAGCATCAGAATAATGATTCAGCAACAGACCAGATCCAACAGGCGCAGTTACAACATTGGCAAACAGCGTCTACATCGGCACATGTCCACCAACCATATTCATTGCCGATGGAGTATCAGGATATTCAGTTGCCATCCGGACTGATCCGACGGGTTTAGCCACTGACACAGTCTCTAGAATCAGTTCAGCAGCAATCCTCGGCAGAGATCCAACCATTTTATTCACTACCAATGGAGTCTCAATCGGTTCATGAGATTTCACAGTCAGTCCAGTCTCAAACGCAGTTGCAACTTTAGCAATGGATAGAGTCCACAGAGGTGAGTCTGAATCGATTGTGGGAACATACTCAACAGTTTGAATCATTGTCGCTAGAATCTCAACATGTTCACTTATCATTGGCGCCAACTCAGTCATCACCAACATGGTCTTCTCCTCTAAAGCAGTCACAATCATCATCAGCGGAGTCTCAACCGATCGATTAGATAGCAACGCAGTTGAATGAGATGCCGTTATAGCCATTGTTGCAGGCACAATAGCCATTAGGGCGACTTCAATAGATTCAACCATCTCTAGTGCAATCTGAGCAAGTCGGTCCATCTGTAGCACCGATCCAACAACCACATGTACAAGCTCAACAAGAGCAACAAAAGGTGGCACAAATCCAGCAAGTGCAACAACTATTATTGGTAGAGTCTGAATGGATGCGGCAGTTACGTGCGTCACTTCAAGAGTTGCAATCGTCATTAAGAGTGCATCGGCAAGTTGAGCAATCAATGATAAAGTTACACCAGTCATCATTACAATGTCAGCAAGTGCAGCAATCGGCAGTGGGAAACCAATCATCTTTAGTACATTATCAACCGATCGCACGACTGTTGAATCAACATGCTCAACAAGAGACGACACAATTGCAAGAATTGGTAGGCTTGCCATTGCAGAATCTTCAAGATTCTAATTCACCATTATCGGCACGAAACCAGCTATCAGTGCCGATAGAGGAAATACAGTAGTTGCAAGAGCCATCGTTGAGTCAGGGAATTCGGTGCACGTCTGCGTTAGTAGAAAGTCAATTGCTGATACAACCTACACTATTCATGGAATTGCAGTCATCATCAGAACAAGATCAGCATGGTCAGCAACAAGTGATACATTCCAATCAGTTTCAACAACAGTCAGCGGCGTTCCATGAGCGGGTGATGTCATTTGATCGGAAGACGGTACCATTTAATGAGTTCCAAGGGCAGATGTTGCAGTTTCAGAGACAGATGGTGCGAAACAACGAGTTTGATCAGCAACTGGTGCCAAGTAGATCTTTTCAGAATTTGTCTCAATCGGAAGTTTTGAGCATTTTAATGTAAGTGGGTTTGTCGAGATTGAAGATAACCGAAGTCAGTTCATACATCCATGGCGAATATAGAAAAATGTTTGATGGTTTGAATAGAGACATGTGGGCTTGTATGAGAAAACTTGATAATATGGTGCAACCCGTGTCCCAAGTTCAAAAGGTTGAGATAGCAATTGAATCGTTATGCCTTGGTGATTCCGTAGATGTTAATGGCTTTCAAGAACGTATTGATTATCTAACGAATATGGCGAGTTTGCAAGTAGTGATGAGGTGGATGAGGAAATGGATTGCAGAGACCGATATGATGTAGAACCTCAATACCGTGTTGGTAGCAGTTTTATGGAAGTGGATATTTGGGTTATCAACAACAATGTCGTTCGACGATACTTAAGATCGATGTTGTTGAAACCAATGAAATAGTGTTGTCATCAATCAAAGATGGTTCGAAGGACGTGGTTAAAGATCAGCCGAATATGAATCATAATGATCATAGTCACATTCGACATTCTGGCCCTTCCAATCAAGTTTCAAGTTCCTCACAATTTGAACGCCAAGAACAATGTCATTTCAAGTCAACCGGGGTTGATTTAGCCGCAACAAATGAGATGGAGTTATCATTAGTTAAGAGTAGCTCAAGACATATGGCTCAAGATCAAAATAGTGGTTCTTCCGATGATGATAGTCATGTTCACTCTGGTTTTATAGCCAACGTAGCTTCAGATTTTTCAAATCTCAGTCACCAGGAACAAGGCCGATTGACAATGATTGAGAGTGATGAGACTAGAGACACATTACCGACAGCTGACAAAATATCCAAGGAATCAATCTGCAATTATCGACAGCATGGTGTAGTCGCCGAGTCAGTTTTCACTTCTTCACAACTTAGTCAGCAAGATCAATTAACGGTTCTCGGTATTGATCAAGCTGAAACAAGCTCAACCACATTGTTGGGAGCTGGTGGGGCATCTTGAGGGTTGATTGGAAAAGATGGTAATCAAACTCGGCAGATTGATTATGTGGTCATTCCTGGTTCTGTTTCTCTATAGTTTAAGCAACTAAAGGTCATTTGAAGACACAAGGTAAAGAACGGGCTGATATAGGCAAGATCAAACTGCCGGAAGCAGAGAGTGCCCCGAAAAAGGTAGTTGGTGAAAATAAATAACAAATTCGGCATACTAATTTTAGTGGCGATCGAGTTGAGCAAACGGTCGTTTCTTCGCAAGCCAAAAGATGGTCCAATCATGCATGGATTTATGATAAGAGAGGCTCCATGAGGTCTAGCAACAAAAGCCATAAAGGTAAGTCCATGCAACATTCTTCTTATCACGACGATAGAACCAAGTCTACAAACTCTTTATCTGGGGCCGATTCTATTTATGTTGATGCCGAATCCGATGAGAATCAAGAGGAGAAATACATTGCTTGGCTGGATTATGGTGCTGTTGTAGAATGGAAGTTTGAGTTGACCGCTGATCAGAGGATCCTGAAATCATTAGTTGGTCAAGAGAAAAGGCGTTGCACTTGAGTTTATGCCAAAATTTTTGGGTCTACAACAAAGAGGATTAGAGCATTTTATGTTGAAAAGATAGTGACAAAAAAGGATGATGATATGAAGTCGAAGGTTGATGAGAATAGAGAGGACAATGAAGATAAGCGGTTGATGAATGATGAAGCTGAGATAGAAGTCGTTAGTTTGATTGAAAAACGGCAGGTCGAGTTGCAGTTATTAGGTGATAATAATCACCCATCTCATGCATTGTTAAGAGAGACCAGTGTAGCATTAACAATCGACGAAGAAGAGAGCTGCAAGCAAACTGATTCTGATGCAGTTAGCGGTTTTGTCATCTCCAACCCGGTTTTCATACAGTTCAGCAGTCAGTCAGAGGTAAGATGCAACCAGCCGATTACTTTTCCATTGATTGTGAAAGGTCAAGATTTGTTAGCAGTGAGTGACAAGAAAGGGGCCAAAGAAAATGGTTATGATACAGTCAGTAGTGCTACCGCAACAAATCCAGTTCTTAAGAAGTTTAACAACCAGTTTGAGGTACGACACGAGAGGGTGACTACTTATTCATTGAATATTCAAGGTCGACACTTGTAAACAGTTACAAAGGAGGTCAAGAACAAAGGTGCCGTTCCTGGTGTTAAAGTTCAAGATGTCGAGAAGCGAAAAATGAACAGTGCTTCTAATACTCCTACTTCGAATGGCCGATTCAGTCCAAAATCGGGCCTCAGTGTTAACATGGCTCAAAAGGAGAAGAATCATAGAAGCTATCCACAAGGCAAAGACCACGAGAATCCAGATCCAGTCCCAGAGAAAGAGGCAGTTTTTAAGGAGGGACTCAACCATCGCAAAAAAGTAAGCATGCACCATTCTTTATTCCGTACTATTCACATTATGCATGGGTCCCGTATTATGTTATGTATACAGTGGGATTGTGTTATGTGGATCTAAGGGCCAAGCGGAATACGTACGACTGGTGGTAGTGATGTGCTTATCAACGTTCATATCAAAGTCATATTTAATATGAACGTTCGGGGGGCATTATGTTCAGCCAGTTTCTTGCTATTCGGGGCGAGGGGTTAAGGTTACTAGTGGCCCATGAGTTTTAGTTAATTTATATGGGCATGGTGGAAGTTTTGAGGCTCTAAAATAGCCCAAAAGAGGCCATAGTACGTTTGGAAGCAATATGGGCTAGTTGAGTACGAACAGTTTTAGAATTGGAGAAGAAAGTATAAGCCAAGTGGGAATAAAATTGTTCTAGAATCGGCTGCGTGATTAATTGGTAATTAAGAAAGATTCCTCCTTGTTTCTTACTCCTTTTAATAAGGAAAATTACCAGTAATTAAGGAGATATATTTGGGAAAGGATTATTCTATTACCAAATTAAGAGTTGATTATTAGAAGACTCATCAATCGATTGAGAGACTGCTGTGGGAATAATCACCTATTTCAAGGAAATTGACCACGTTAAGCAACCTTTTTTCCAAGAAATCATAGGACCGCAAGGTTTTCGTCCAAGCACTATAAATAGAGGCAACCATGAAGAGAAAATTATGATCGATAAGCTATAAAGCTTATTTTCTTCGTCTTTACTATTTTCTTGTACAGTTTATCATGTTTTTACATTCCCTATGGTAGTTCATCATGTTCTATCATGCTTGCTTAGCCCATAGCTTAGCAATAGAGTTGTTCACCTTTTTCTCCTACATAGAATTAGGTAAGTGTTCACCGTTTTTTACTCCAACAAATGCGGTTATCTTATAATAGGTGTTATAACACTTATGTATGTCAGACTACCCTCTGTAAGTCTGTCCTCCCTTTGCCTTCTATACAATAGCGTGTCAACAACACCATCTATAGCTTGCCGGCACTTGAATTTTCCACTTTATGAGTTAAACGCCGTATTTTTCGGCGTTTCCCCACTTTCTCTAAGTCTCTACCTATCTTTCCCAAACTAAAGCCAATAACCCTAAGTTTTCGATCCTGGTCCGAGGCCGGTTCGAGCTCAATCACAATTGTCTGATTTAATTGTGTTTTGGGTAGTTCTTGTTTTCATTTTTCCCACGGTTTCAGGTGCATAATTTTCACGCAAACATAAGAATAGAGTTTTGCAAAAGAGTCATATGGAGATTCCCATATTTAATTAAAAAAAAACAATTTTGCAATCGAATGCTCTTTTATTAGTTGAAATTATTTATTTCTCGTCTCAAAATGATTATCTTTCACTTTTAGTATGATTTGTACTAAAAATAAATCTATACGTAATAAAATTATTTCGGGACGAAAATAATATTTAAATTTCAGGTTTTGTTTACTTTGATATTTATATTTTACCGAGATTTATTAACTATTATTTCGAGAAGTCACTTAAAGTTATGGACATCGGGTGATTTATTTTTTAATGCTGGATTGGATTACATGTATAATTTGATTATTGAATTTTTATATCTCTTCAAGTTTAACTCAATCTCAAATTGCTAATATTATTTCATTCTAAGTTTAATGTAATATTGTTTATTATCATTATATTTATTCAGAAATTAGAGGAATACAAATGGATTGGAAATAGCTAAAATCATTGAGAAACCGAATTCATTGACAAGTTGAGCTTGTAAAGTTATGTCATGATTCATGTCATGTGAAGTTCTTGTTTAACTTTTCAATTTATTTAAAACATCCAATTTATTTGCTTATGTCATGTGTTATATGATGATGATTTAATGAATTTCATTGAAGAAAATACATATCTCAAAAAATAAAAATACATATCTTAAAACAACATCATTTTCTGTTAGTAATTTGAATTTCCCCCCTATTGATTGTTACCTTATTCTTTCTCAATTTATGTAATGCACTTTGTACAATAATGTTTCTTTCAAGATGAAATTTTTTCGAATTGGACTATTCCTAAAATTATTAATTAGTTTTTAGATAATATAACTTTGTATTTCTTATTTACAATTCAATATTGTGTACTAACTCTAGTCTAGAGTATAAACCAAACTAATTAACCTAAGTTTTAGCAACGTCACTCATAACAGAAAAAGAATTATTTTGGCCAATAGAAGAGTATGAAGAGAATAAATATTACAAAATTTTTTTACTTACGCACGATATAACTTACATTCGGATCAAAATATATATTTCAAATCCATGATATTTAATTACTTATTATAAGACTTAGATTAGAAGTATACCTTCCTTTTGTTGATCTTCACATACCTATATGTCTTTTATCTCCTTCAATTCGTTAAATCTTTCTATGAATTGTTGTACTAAAAAAGAAAATAATAAAAAATAAATAACTCTCTCCTGATACGAGAAGTAAGACTTCTAGAAATGGAGGAGAAAAAAAAATTTCTCACTAAGAGGAGAACAATTAGTAGAAAACGAAATGAAAAGAGTTCAATTAGTAGTTTTTACAAATTTTGGGTAAGTTGATGTAAATTCACCCAAAACAAAATCAGTATGGGAAACTAGGACCATCCCCCCCCTGAAAAGTCCATCATTTTCCCCCTCTCACCCCTGACCTCTCCTCCTTATCCTCAGTCTCAAGTCTACGTCCCTCCCTAATCCTTAAACCCTTCTCTTCTTCACACAGTCACACAGTAGGAAGAAGAAGTAAACAACAATGGCTTGTGCAGCAAAGCCTGTATTGAATACTTTAACAATGGCCACAAACAGTTCTTGCATAGTTTCACTTCCATCCCTTTTCTCCACGAATTCAAGTAAACTCTCAGTTTTGTCAAAACCCATCAAGCTTAATCTATCCTGTTGTCAATCTTACTCTTCTTCGCCGTTGTTGTCCTCTTTATTATCCCTAAAGAAGAAGAAAGATTCCGTCTTTGGTACTGTTCTTTCTGCCGTGGCCGCTCAAGAAGAGGATAACACTCTGGTTCTCGCGGAAGAGGAGGAGCAAGAATTCGGCAATGGGGATTCTGAATTTGAAGGTGGTGTTTCTGAGGGGGAAAGCGAAGGTGGGTTTGTAGGGTTTGCTGGGAGTGAGGAGGGAGATGATAATGAGGGAGAGTTCCAGGAGCCTCCCGAAGATGCCAAATTGTTTGTTGGGAACTTGCCGTATGATGTGGACAGTGAGAAATTGGCTCAGCTTTTTGAGCAGGCTGGTGTTGTTGAAATCGCTGAGGTAATTTTGTTCATGTGGTGAAAAGATTGATTGATTGATGGATTATTTGTCAAAAGAAAGATGTAAAATTTAGTTTCTTGTCGATTCTTTTAGCTAATTTCTTATGGTGAATTCTGCATTTGTTGTGTTTCTGGACAGGTTATATACAATAGGGAGACTGACCAGAGCCGTGGCTTTGGGTTTGTGACAATGAGCACTGTGGAGGAAGCTGAAAAGGCCGTGGACATGTTCAACCGTTATGTGGGTGTCGATAGTTCCTTTCTTTCTCGCTTCTTCTGTTTTGGTTTTCCCCTTTCGAAGATTAACTTGTTTTATTAATGTTTCAAGTTATGTTTTTATGTGGTAATCCAATTTGTGTGTTCTATTTTTGAAAAACTGCTAGGCAGTGTTTGTATTAGAATTTCGCTTGCTGTCCCAACATTTGAATTTATATTTCATGTCGTATATGTTCATTTGTGAAGGCGTATTAGAAATGTATGCTAGGCAGCTAGACTGATACTCTTAGTGAGATTGTGATAATAAGTGGAAATTCTGGGTTAAGGGATGAATGACATGGTGAGATAAAGCTCGTATAGAATGGAGGCTTGTGGGTATTGGAGTACCGGAGAGTGTTTGGTTTGGAGTCTATTATATGCAAAATTAATGAACCAATGAAAAGTAGCTGAAATTGGAGGACATGTGGCTCAAATTGTATTTGTTAGATTAAGTGGAACAAGCATGAATAGAATATCAATTTACTGAATGGTGTCTGCTTATGCAGCGAAGAAGACACCAATGAGGTTTTGGGAGGCTTAGGACAGGCTTTTAATTCTGCAAATGTGTGGCACTTGTCTTATTTGCGATGGTATTTGCTTATGGAAGCTGGGAATCTATCTTGTGGGGAATGATTTCCAATGTAAAACTGAACTAATTTTGCAATGTCCAGCAATCAGTTTAGCATTCCTTTACGAAAATTTGAAATATCATTGCTGCAAATTCTGTTTTCGCTTATATATCATTTCTTGAGTGTGTGCTTTGTGATGTATGGATTTATTTCTCTATAAATCAACTGCAATTTGCAAACTACAATTTTGCTACTTCTCCTTCTCCTGAGATGTAAATCATGAATGTTTCTGCATTTTCAGTAGAAGCATATTCAATCATTCTTTTTTAAAGCATAGTCAATCAAATCTATTTATGTATTTAAGATTTTCAACTGTGGTACTATTGTTGATGTCATATTTTTGTTATAAATGATAAGGTATTGAAAATGTTTTCGGCAGAACCCTTGAACTTTTTGTAATCGGAGATGTTGTCATTGGTAATCTGGAATCATTCTTTGTGTTTACTCACTCTTTTCCACTTGGTGGTAGCATCTTATTCAGGGGTTATTCAGATGGGATGGAGATATGGTGGTTTAGTTACCTTAATGGTTTTGGACCTTGTTTTATTTTTCTCCAAACTTTAGATAAATGTTTCAGTAACTATCAATGAAATCTGATCAAGGGTAATGGCTTGTTGAGTATCCTATTCTGTGAATTGGATGATCACATGGTTTAGTGAAGTTAAAGATTCTCAGTAGTCTTGATTTATTTCTATGTAGATCTGTTTCTTGCTGTGTCATATGGAAATTGTTTGGAGCAAAGTGAATAAAGACTTTGATTATTGATTCTACCTTATTTGAGCCATTTTGACTCCATACTTTTGCCATGATAAGAGCTTTTCAAGTAAAATGGAATATCCATGTTATCTTGTATCAAGTTTCACTCAAGAATTTTGTTCATTTTGAACTTTGTTTTCTGTCTACTTTGCAAGCATGAGTGTTCCTGAAATTTTTGAAATGCAAACTGCTAGCTTGATTCACAAGCAACTTTGAACCTGTACCGATTTAAGACTTCATGCTTTTTGTGTGAGTCGTTTTATTGGCTTAGGGAATCTCAATTGTCAAAACTCAAAACTGTAAGTTCTCATATGGTGTCAATATGAATGGGTTTGAATGATGCTTAAAATGCATGAACGGACATTGTTCTTTCATTTTTAACTTTTCCTATGCAATTTGATCAGGAAAATCTTGATTTTTGTGGCTTAAGGACCTGTTCCTTATTGTCTGCTGAGCAGGATTGCTTGGTCTATCTAAGAATAATATTTACTCGCATGGGGAATTCCACTGAACTCATATAACACCCGGGGTCTTTGTTTCAGAAAATCTTGATGCCTTCCGTGTGACCAGTACATCCGTTGTGAATTTCTAACAGAAAACTGTTTTGCTCAGGATCTAGGTGGGAGATTCTTGACTGTCAACAAGGCTGCCCCAAGAGGATCACGGCCTGAACGTGCACCTAGAGTGTTTGAGCCAGCCTCCAGAATCTATGTGGGTAACTTACCTTGGGATGTGGATGATGCACGTCTTGAGCAAGTGTTCAGTGAGCACGGGAAAGTGGTCAGTGCACGTGTAGTTACTGATAGGGACAGTGGACGATCACGGGGTTTTGGCTTTGTGACAATGTCCAGTGAATCGGAAATGAATGACGCCATTGCTAACCTTGATGGCCAGGTAATGCAAGGCTGCCTGTAATTGTAGTACTGTGCATCTTTCGTCCATACCTAGATAAAACCCCAACACCAATGCGCTGGATCATAAATTTATACTTTCAGTCTGAGATGGGATGATTAGTATGTTCCGTGTAAATACTTATGTATTTACCAATGAATTGCAAACCAGAAAGTTTTTTAAGTCTTGAATTGGTATCTAAATTTCTTTTGGCCACAATTGCAATTCCTCTTGCAGAGTCTGGATGGGAGGGCTATCAAAGTAAATGTTGCTGAACAAAGACCAAGACGCACTTTCTAATCAGTGAGCAGACAGCTGGCTGAGATTGAAATATGGCACCAGATGAATTTCAAGATTTTGTGAAGCTTTTGTTTTTGTTGGTTGAGACCCTGATGGTTCCATTAGTTGAGGATGAAGCTTCATTTGTCGAATTCCTTAGTTAATTCAATTTGTTGCTCTTTTGTGTATTAACCTTTGTAGGATGTCAAAACTTTTCCGGTAGGTATGAATATGTGGAAAGAAAAACGTTCTGCTCAGTCGTGAACTAAGACTGCTGCATAATCTGTTCCGAGGAAATGTGTAGTCAGTAGTCAGTCCTGAGCTACTACATCCTAAAGCGTAAATGGTCAACACATTGGCACAACATATGTTCTTTACACATTCTTGCCAACCTAAACGATTCTAGGAAAACACAACATTAAGTTTAAGGCTGCTTTTTTTTTTGTTTTTCTTTTTGTTTTTTTGGGTATGGAATAATAATTCATTCATATCAAACAAAACACTACCCGGAAAGAGTACACGCCTCAGGGCCGTCTCATTTTTAACCTTTACAAATACGCATGGGTTTGAGGTGCTACTATACAAGTGTTTGGTTCAAAAGTGGAAGAACAATGCTTGTGCTATTATCCGTATGTAAGCACTACCTCAACGTCTAGCCTCTAACAGACCTTCCTGTTCGTAGGTAAGTGAGCCTTGATGGCGACGGATCCCTTTCCGTGAAGCCTTGATGGCGCACCACCTACACAAATATAGTACTATTCAGTAGTTATATTGCTGAACTCCTGATGAGGGCAGAAGGTTCACTTGAATATCTACCTTATCCTTTGTTGCCCCCGTTAGCGCTGCCTTTGGGTATTCCACTGTTTTTCCGACCCCAAATCAGAATCATTTGAAGCCATATGATATACTTCCTCCGTTCTACAAAAATAGTCCACATTGAGTTTTGAGTTTTGTACTATTTTTTAGTACAAATTTAAAAATTCAATGTGGACTATTTTTGTGGGACGGAGGCAGTATTAAAATTTCCTCTGGAAAATCTATATGCACACAATTGTTTTGAGTTTAAGACTGCTAATATTTTCTTCTACTTAACATACAAAGTTTTCCATCTCACCGGGCCGAGACACTGAAGATGCAAGTGCTCTCTTCTTATTCTATTTTCTCTTTCTCATTTTTGTTTGCCGTTGTACGATATCGAGAAGCTCAATGAGACATTTACCCGCAAAAAAGTGTACGGGAAAAGCAAAGTGAAGAACCATGAAACTAAAGATTGAAGAATTGCAAGTATGCAACTCAGCATCGGAATGAATATCCCAGAGAAAGAACTTTTCCCCATACGAATCCATTTTAGTAAAATAGTACAAGACAAAAAAGGTTTCCCTTATTCTATTTACACAACAAATATATACAGAACTAAAACTAAAAGTGAAATTCCTAGGAGTCTTCAGGTTCCTCGGCTTTATCCATCTCCACTTGCGACATTAACACCAGAAATCCCACCAAGAAAATCTACCTTCAGTAGCCACGCAACTGAGCTTCTCGACTCGTGAGAGGAACATATCGAACAGATGTTTCGTCGTGAACACTGAGCGAACCATCCATTTTCTTATCCACAACCTTCAAATCCTGGTAAACGTTTCCAACAGGTATCACCATCCTGCCCCCAGGCTTCAACTGATCAATTAGAGCTTGGGGGATTTCTGCCGCGGCAGCACCAACATGAATAGCATCATAAGGTGCAAGCTCCGGCCAGCCAAGCCGCCCATCTGTGACAAGGCAAGAGGCAAGAGAAATGCATCAACCAACTAGTAGTGGGCACAAGATAAAAGTTTAGTCTCCATTGCCAAGCAAAATGTCGATTGTCTATGTATCACTTGCACGAACATTATAAACCAAAATCTACCAACGACTACTGAGAACAATAGAAACCAAAATCCAGCAACCACAAATGAGATGTATAGATATCCCTTGTCTTAATGGCAAAATGAACAATTCTTTCACTTTCATAGGTTTTTTTAAACTGTTAAAGGGAATCTTAGGAATAAATTACCGTCACCACTCCTCAGGTGCCCAAAAACATACCTCCAGAATGGATCGATAAGGAGCCCTCTTTTAGCAATGGAGCTGCAGCACTTTTTTGGATGTTATTAACTGATTCTGCAGCCAATTCAGGAATATGTTCCACACCAACTGCTCGACCTTGGGGGCCAACCATAATTGCAAAGCAAGCTGTCAAGTAGCCAGTTCCTACGAAGAAACCAAAATTCATGAGCGGTGGCAATTTGAAATATTATGCCACAAGTGAATCAATTTCACGCATTCTTTTACCATCAAACAGGAGATCCTCCGTATACAAGTGAATCCAGCAATTCATCTTTTATTTTCAAGACTTGAGCGTAATGGGAAAAAATGAACAATATCTAATGAATCTATAGTAAGCATACAGATGCATACCATTTAGAAATTAAAGTGTTAGACCTGGTACATTTCCTATCTCTAAGTCTTGGGCATCCTTCATTTTTTTTTATTTCTTCCCTCTCTTACACAAAATTCAAACCAATCATAACAAACAAGTGTGCGTTATTTTACGGTTTTATTCACTATTTTGAACCAAAAAAAATTACAGATGTCAAATTTTAAGCAATAGAATCAACTCAGCAAACTGATTTTAACAAGAAACTACACAGATTTTAGCACTTTGTTACAACCTTACATACAAATTTTGAAATTTACCTGAACCAACATCTAAAGCATGCATGCCAGGTTGCAGATGATTCTCCAGCAACTCCAGGCACATCCCATGCATATGAGGTGCGGAAATAGTGGCATTGTATCCAATCTGCATTGGACTATCCACATATGGTGGGGTTCCATCAGGCACAAACAAGGCTCTGTCAATGGTTTCCATTACTTCAGCTACTTTATTAGATCTGATAACCCCATAGCTCTTCAAGTGTTCCACCATTGCTTTATTTTTATTGAGACCAATTCCTGCCCAAGATCGCTGTATATAAACAGAGAACAATGCCGATATCAATAAACACACATAGATCCATCTCAACACCTGTTAAGGGAAGTACGGAAGTAACCCACACCCAATCAGAGGAAGCTCAGAACCTTAAGGGGGTGCCATAAAAATAATTGATAAAAACGAAGTTGTACAGGGAAATTGATAATATAAATGAATGGAGACAATAAAGATCAAATTCGGAATCATCCATTCGGGAGTATATACCTAAATGTTGTAATCCATAAAAGCTGTTACCACCTGAGACAATAATCCTAAGCAGCAAAAACTAGTTAGGCTATATTTCTCCTAATGTCAGCGACTTGGAAGGCACTCTTTCCATTTCTCAGTCAAGTAGACGGTGGATTTCAACATGAGCCTAAATGCTTTTTCTTCTACTATCCTAGAACTGAGTGAATCTATGGATTCAACTTTCCCTAGTCACTACAGCAAGTGAGAGAATTAACAACTAATTAATTTTATATTTTTTTTTTTTAAAAAAAAACACAGCAACGACACTGCAACAAGTAAAACTTGTAGATAAGAACCTACAGATATGAAAATTGAGACATGACTTCTAATACCATAACAAAGACATTTAGGCGACGTATTCCAGCTCACTCAAAGATACCATCCATACCAGAAACCTGCAAATTATTTACCAGATAAAACAGTAATCCATGCTACAAATCCTCTGAGAAAAGGTGATCTGGAGACGTTCTCTTTCGAAGTCTTAAATACAGGTTACTCCCTCCCCCAAAGATCCATATACTGTACAAGATCTGACTTAACTGTTATTATAGAATAATCCGGCTGAAATGAGTTCAAATTATCAATCTTCTAAGACAGCTGCTAAATATTTACTTCCATGAGTCGACTACAAAAACAGCAAATTCTGTTCTTCACTGAAATATATAATATTTTACAAGGTAACAAGCTCTTTAAGGACTTCCCAAAATCTCATCATTTAAGTATTGAACAGGTTTCTAAAGGGCCATACCACTTTTCTTTGTTTGATCAATCTTCATTTCCAAGGTAAACAGGCAACAGCAAGTCCTACAAAATCCTCCAATTCAGGACTAAATTACTTTCTAGTTTGCATTTCCATACCCTGTTTCTCTAGCCTAAAAGCCAAAGTTTCACTGATCACGAACCCCAAAACTTGATTGACAATTCCGAATTCGATAGTCAATTTCACATTCAGGCTTCGTATTTTTCCATCACAGCAGGTCCTCCATTTCATTTAAAAAATCCGTATACGACGAAAACATGCATAAAGAAATCGCAAACTGATCCGAGTGAACTCCAACACTCCCCGCAACAAAATCACACCACAGCTCGCAAAATTAAAAAAACGAATTCCAATCCGGCAAATTTAAATTAATTATCTAGCGTAGAAAATTTTACAAACACGAGAGAGAGAAATGATGAGAGGGGATTAGGAAGGGACTTACCTCCATACGAGAGAAGAACGAGTTCCCCGTGAGGAAATTCGTTTTAGAGAGACGACAGCAGGAAGAAAGCACGGCACAAGGGGACGGAGCGGAGCGCGGTGGAGACAGCGGCGGAGGAGAACGACGGCGGCGGTAGTGGTAGAGGCGGAGGGAGGGAAGTGGACGGCCAGCGAGCGACACCAAAGAGGTGGGGTGTAAAGGCGTACGATAGCGGCAACCACACGCAACGAGTACTGATGATGTGAAGGAATAATAGTTTGACAACGGATGATGCGGCATCTCTTTTTTTCTTTTTTTGATATTGTTGGGATTCTTCTCGCTCTTTCTTTTGGTTTCCTGCTCCTTTTTTAATTTTCTTTTCACATTTTTTTTTTTGGCGGTTCTTTTTTTTTTCCCTCTCTCTACCCAAATGACACGTTTCCGAAATTTAATTTTGAGTCTGTTTAGAGTCTAATTGATCCAAAATAATACAAATTAGATGTTTGGCCCGGCCAAAAGACTTGGGCGGCGGCTTTCAGATTTTTTTTTCTCATATTCTATGACATTTCTTTATGAGATTACATTCTCTTATGACAATAATTATGGGACGGAGGGAGTAATAAAAACATAATTTAAGAGCTAATTTATACATTCTTATGGGAGGAACGCTTGTTTGTATTCAGATATCTATTTACTCTAAAAACACATCAACAATCAATTCTAATCAAATGTAATGAAATTCGTGTTCCCAAACAACAAATTGCAACAATTATAATGCTTATAGTAGTTGGTTTGTCGAATAACATTCACCAAAATGACATCAAAGAAGAGAAGTAGAAATGAATAATCAGTAAAGCATATAGATAATTATATACTGAGATTTAATATATTCTCCATGTATTGATTTCGTCCTTCATTCTCAAGAAGATTTCTAGCATGTACAGAGACAATGATGGTCAATACTAGTGCAATGGAGCAACCAAATAATAGCCCTGCATCCCAGAAAATACATCAAAAAAACTTTTGTTTAGAACCGAAAGTCACTAAGATAAAAACAATCTAATTTTAACAATCTATATCTATGATCTATATAAATATGAAATGTGATACAATTTTCAAATCTGTGAAATATTGTTGAATGTGCAAATAATTAAATTCCGTCAAGATGACCGTACACTTAAGAAATGAGTAGAAGAAAAGCTCCATCAACATGGACAAACTCTATCATGAAGTACTTCATCTATAACTTTGTCAAAGATATCGCGCTCTTCCTTTAAGAGTTACTTTAGCTTCACAGTCTTTTTCAAGTTAAAATAGGTACAACAACAGGACGTGTCCATTCCTTTCGTTCAATTGGGTCGACAGAACACATCTTGATCGACAATTCACTGTCGAATTTAAATAGTCTTGCTTCTCTCCACTTCCCATCAGATGGGGCTTTGTAAAGCATATGGCTCAATGAGGTGAGTTCATCAGTAGCTTTCTCTATGCAGGAAAACTAAGTTCAGTATTAACAGTCCAATCCATTGTCGAGCAGGAATGGCGGCTCAGTCCAGGGTAAAACTTTAGAAGGACAAACACCACCGTGGCTGCAAAACTGTAGTTGTACTCCACTAAGAGAGTACCATCACAGTTTACCTTTCCAAGATATTGGGTCAACTCACCTCAAAAAAGCCCCAAATAATCTCAAAACAGATCTTTTGTACCTGTATGCAATCTGTGAAAGATAAAATTATTTGATTTATCTAGTTATAACAATGCATAACCGAACGACACAAAATAAGAAAATGTAATTCATTGATTAAATACTTAAGACAAACGCTAAATGTTCTGAAAATGAAAATGAAAACTGAAGTCAAAATGAAAGTATCTGGAAAAAGATTTTACACCATCTAACGCCTTTTTTCCCTTTCAGACTAACAATCAAACAGTTAGCATTAACCTCCACTATCACCACTACTTGAATGAGAGTAAACAATCAACCTTATAAATGGGAGAAGAAGAATAGGCCGCCAAACTTTTCATATGTCACAATAAATTGAGGACCACAGAAAATTATGATGTGTACGTAGTTGCTGATGAGCTACTAAAATAGACATCTCCAACCCAAAGATCATATGTACACACAGTTTGACAAACTTCTGAGAATAAAGCCAAAGGTACATTTTACTTTAATAAGAATCTAAAAAACGCAAATCGAAACTAAGGTTCTATTTCAAAGAATTAAAGCTAAAGTTGCATAAAAATTGAATTTGAGTCTCCATTCGAAACCACGATGTATAATTAGTGATGCAATTTGAGTTTCAAAGGTGGTATGCCTCTGATCTTCTACTAAAAACTCGCTATAAAAACTCGTTAAGGCATAAAAGCAAACACCTAACCCGCAAACAAAACAATCCATATTCCAACAATCAATTGCACCCATGAATTTTAACCTTGTTGATCATAATCCGGAAAAAAAGTTAAGCCCTGCAATGAAAATAATTAGAGGCATCTACTCATCAGCCTAACAAATTAAATCATTAATGAATAATCCACATATCTCACCTTGTCGTTTTTGCTTTTCTCAAGGAAAACCCCACTCACCCTCTTGGTTGGCCATTGTTTTCTGATGCTATGGCACTGTGAAGCTGAGGCGTATCCCAAATTCTAAGTAATCAATCACGCAGCAGATTTAACAGTGGTTGATATTTACCAAAACCTATTTACAATCAATAAATAATATATCCAAGGAGATTATTAGGGTTACCTCTTGCAGCGAATCAAACAGCTATTAGTAGTAGAAGAAGTATGATCACAAGCCACACAATTGTATGGCCTCTATCGGTATCTACACGAATGATTTCTAGGACAAACAAAGTTATCTACATGAATGATTTCTAGGACAAACATAAGTTGAGAAGGCTAGCTCTCTTGCACTGCTGGTTTCACGTCTATCCCTATAAGGAAGCAGGAAGCCCCTTTTATAGGAATTATGTGACTTATTGTACAAGACTTGTGTCTAGACTTATTATTCAATCATATTTATTAATAAGTCCCTAAAGTTTAACTTATCTTATAAATTAGTCATCCCAATAATTAAATCATTCATGTGTGACCCTATAGTTTCTCAAACACATTGGAAATAAATATAAACTATAACCTTTTAATTTGATTGGCTTTAGGACATAAACCAACAAACTCCCACTTTGACTAAAGCCAAATAAATATGAGAAATTTAAGATTATATAATTTATATTTGTAGATCAAGATTGGCCTCTAGCCAGGCATCATGACCACCCAAGTGTCAAGAAAAGTCATATGATCAACTTCACCTTTCCATGAACATATTTCCGTGTAAATATTATCATTTCACCATATGATATCCTATTAGCTCAAGAGTAAGGCATAGTGCCAACTCTTAATGAGCTAATTATTTCTTTACTTATTCCCAAAATATAACTCATTTGTGGGTAAGTTTAGAACTTCCTAAATTCCCACTAGTTTGCGCAAACGTTCCTTGAGTCATATTTCAACAAGTGGCCGAAGGATATATTCTTCTTACTATTGAAGTGGTGAATCCTTTATTGAACATAAACTGTCTAACCGAATTTCATATTGAGCTCATCTCTCAAAGCACACATAACCAACTAAGGTTAAGGACCAAAAGAGCATAAACACAACAATCCACACTTTAGGCACTCTTATGATCTCAAGTCGAAGGATCAATTACACCAAATTCACATTGGAGACCATTGACACTTAAATAGTTTACCTTGTGGAATCTCTAAGCGGGTCACTCCAATGAACTTGTTCTCAAACAAGCATCCACATATTTTAGTCGATGAGATCAACTACTTTCTACATTAGGAAGAAACATAACATGTGCTAGTCTATCCGTATTAACAATGTCCTATTTCATTAATACTATGACTAGGGATACTTTAAGAATAAAACACTATATAAATGAAAAATCTCACCATCATAACCCTTTATGGTTTCTTTCATATAATTTTATTCTAAGGACTTTATCATTTAAGTAAAGTAAAAGACAACGAAGCAAATGATAAATAAAATCATATCATCAAATTGCATAGTAATAAAAGTGTAAAATTACAAACCAAATTGGTTTTTGTCCACACACTACTAAATAACACTCCCACTTGGACGAAAACCTCTTATATATCCACCTGCTTCAGGCCAAATGAACGCACATGCATTTCATGCTTAAGCTGGGATAATGGTTTAGTCAATGGATCAACTATGTTATCATCCGTGGAAATTTTCTTTATCTCTATCTCACGTCTACCAACAAATTCTCTAATAAGGTGATATCGCCGCATTACATGCTTTGACTTTTGATGAGATCTGGGTTCTTTTGCTTGTGCAATAGCTCCAGTGCTATCACAATACAAACGTATTGGATTAGCTATGGACGGAATCACACCAAGTTCAGTGACAAACTTTTTCATCCAGACTGCTTCTTTAGCTGCTTCAGAAGCGATAATGTATTCAGCCTCAGCTGTAGAATCTGCTATAGTTGACTGTTTGGAACTCTTCCAGCTTACAGCACCACCATTAAGAGTGAATATGTATCCAGATTGCGATTGGAATTCATCCCTATCGTCTGAAAACTGGCATCTGTATATCCACATATCTTGAGATCTACCTCCATAAACCAAGAACAATTCATGAGTCCTTCTCAAGTACTTAAGAATATTCTTGACAACTTTCCAGTGATTTTTACCAGGATTGGCTTGATATCTGCTTGTAACACTTACAGCATAGGAGACGTCCGGTCTAGTACAATGCATAGCATACATAATAGATCCCACTGCAAAAGCATATGGAATATTCTGCATGTGTTGCATTTCCTCATCAGTTTTTGGACACATTTTCTTAGAAAGGTAAACACCATGAGACATGGGTATAAAACCTTTCTTAGAATTTTCTATGCTAAACCTCTTTAACACAGTATCAATGTATTGAGACAGAGACAATCCAATTAACCGATTAGATCTATCAGAATAGATTCTAATCCCTAATATATAGGCTGCATCTCCTAAATCTTTCATAGAAAAATTCTTGCACAGATATTCTTTCACTGATTCAAGCATTGGCACATCATTTCCCATCAACAATATGTCATGTATATAGAGTATCAAGAAAACAACAGAACTCCCACTATCCTTTCTATACACACAAGATTCATCTACGTTTTGTATGAAACCAAACTCTTTGATTGTTTCATCGAAACGAAGATTCCAACTCCTTGAAGCTTGTTTTAGGCCATAAATTGACCTTTGCAACTTACATACTCGACGAGGATCATCAGATGTAAAGCCTTCAGGTTGTATCATATACACCTCCTCTTGCAAATACCCATTAAGGAATGCTGTCTTTACATCCATTTGCCAGATCTCATAGTCATAATACGCAGCAATAGCAAGTAAAATC